GAGCTATTTTATCTTTGGCTGTGTGAACTTTCCCTGGGGAGACAAAAACAAATGCCAAATCAACCTCAGGGCACCAACGATTCCACCGCAGTCTAACTTGGTGAATCAGTGAGTGTATTGCTCTTACTTACAGAGCATGGGTGACCACAAAACAGCTGCACCATGAAGAGTCTTTATCCAGCACGGGTGAGGACATCTCCACAGCTGCCTGAATAGAGCTCCCCCACCCCTTCAGCTAAACTTCCACATTCTATGTGCTCTACTTTATCCCAAGATGAGACCATAGGCAGCCTGGGCAGAATTACATACAGCTTGGGAGCAAGAGTAGGAAGAGTGCTTGGAATCTTCAGGTGAGGTTCTACTGACCCTCCCCAACCCCTCTTCTATGATAGAAGGACCACAAGCCTGATCTTGAGTGTCTCTTACAACCAGCCCCAGCTAAGCCATTATCAGCCCCTGACCCATAGAAACTGTGGGGTAGCAAATCTGTGCTGTTTTAAGCTGTTATGTTTTGTCAAATGACATACACCAATAGATCATCAACAGAGGCCTGAAGAACTTTGTCTATATCTACTTGGAGCTTGTTCTCAAGAACTCTCCAAACACTGGCGATAGTGAGTAGAGGCAGAATCTACTTGGAGCTTGTTCTCAAGAACTCTCCAAACACTGGCGATAGTGAGTAGAGGCAGAATCTACTTGGAGCTTGTTCTCAAGAACTCTCCAAACACTGGCGATAGTGAGTAGAGGCAGAATCTACTTGGAGCTTGTTCTCAAGAACTCTCCAAACACTGGCGATAGTGAGTAGAGGCAGAATCTACTTGGAGCTTGTTCTCAAGAACTCTCCAAACACTGGCGATAGTGAGTAGAGGCAGAATCTACTTGGAGCTTGTTCTCAAGAACTCTCCAAACACTGGCGATAGTGAGTAGAGGCAGAATATGTAACAGTCAAAGTCAATGCTTGGAGACCTTACCTCATGATACAAGTTTAGTGTGATCTATAATATTAACTTCAAAAGACAACTGCTGCCTAAAATGTCTGTGAGTTCCAGGTCAGCTGGGGCTACAGGGAGACCCTGCCTCAAAAAGACCAAAATAAATAAATAAAAATAAAGAAGTAGTTAAAAACAAAAACCAAAAAACCCTGTGAGCTAGAAAAGGAACAAAGTGCATTCCAGGGGGATGCAAAAGCCCTTAGGCCGAAGCTGGTCTGCATCTCTGGGGAACTGAGGAATTAACTCCCTGGGCAGAACAAAGACACAGCAGGTGCAGATATAGAGAGGTGGCCTATCAGCTACCTACAAGAGGAGCTGGAGTAGAAAAAGGCCTGAGCCACATCATGGAGGGCTCTGGATGTCAGGCTAACCCTAGTCCATAGGAAAGCAGCAAAGACCATACAGAAACAGGCCTGGTCAGCCCCAGCCCCGTGCTGGCTACGCCGGCCTGCCTTCTCCTGAGGCCCCACAGCACTTACCTTGCCGCACCAGCCCTCGTTCAGCAGGCTTGGAGGCGTTGACACTGTTCAGTTGCTGCAGCATGTCACTTAGGTGACACTGGACCGCCTCATTGGTCTCCCGAACGACTGGTTCTTCCTTTTCCCGTGGATGCTTGGGCTGTGAGTTCTCTGTGCCCAGAAAGGTGACATGGTCATTGGCCAGGCACACAATGGAGGAGAGAGCGTTGGACTGTTAGGGTCCGTGACTCGATGGGTCCCCTCCAGGTAACAAATACACGGGATTGGAGATGTAAAAATCAAGCAGTCTTTACTTTCCAGCTAGCTGGGGTCGACCGGCTTCCTGAGACATGCAAGTCTGGTCAGAACGATCGACCCCCATTCAGTTTCAGGTACAGATTATATAGGCCCACATAGTCATTACACAAAAAGCATTCCTCAGCAGACACTTTAATCAATCATCTTCTAAAAGCTATAGTTTCGGTTAAACATCTTTTCCAGGAAGGGTAGATCTGGTGTAAGCCTGGTGCAACTTCCCTCTTTTGTTCCTTATCGGTTATCTGGTATGTGCAAACAGGCCTACAGGACACATTGTAAATCAACTGAGTCAGGGGTCCAGGGTCCAGGAAGGAGGTTTACAGCACTTCAATTCTTAGCATTTCAACTAGGTTAATCATCCATGTGTGGTAGATACAATCAGGCAGAACAGGCAAGAGGATCCAGGAAGGTGGACGGCTGAGTGAGCTACACTGCATGGCAGGATGGATCCATAGGCCTTTACGTAAAAGCCTAAGAGACTGCTCCACTCCACGTTTTGCTCTACAAACTTATATAACCTGAGTCTAAGGGGATGCACATTGAAGCACAGGTGGTTCTGTCTTTAGGCTTGCAGGATTCATTTTCCCAAACCAAAACTTGCTACTTTTCCTGGGTAATAGGAATTTCTTAAGTTTTCAATAAACAAACTACCATGCTGTGATAATATTCAAGATCTGATTTTAAAACTCCAGCAAAAAAGAGACAGTGTTTATAGAATATAAAAAAAAAACGAATCTGTCCAAATAGTTACCAAACTATGGGAAGCATACACAGGGATTCATCATATGATTCTCTCTACCTTTGGGCAGGCTTGAAAATTTCTATAAAACCGTTTTCTTTTTCTTAATCCTACACGTTCAGAATCAGAACCAAAAGAAAATAAAGTAACCCTTAAAATAGTATTAATCATAGCCTCCCTCTGCCCCAAATAAGATAGAAATCCAGGAATAAGTCACTAGCATGAATAACAAAATAAGAAAATTGGAGAGAGGGGGCAGTCATTCATTATAGCACAGTCTCAATAAGCTAGGAAGGAGAAACATCATTCAATAGCATGCTTGAAGCCCTGGGTTAACCACAGCACCACAAAAGAGTAAAGGAAAACAAAGGAAAAAGACCAAGAGGCTAGGAAGGTAACTCATTTGGTAGAGTGCTTGCCTAGCATGCACAAGGCCCTGGGTTCTACTCCATTATAGCATAAACTGAGCATGGTGGTGCAATCCTGTAATCCCAGCACCAGGGAGGTGAAAGCAGGAAGAGCACAAGTTCAAGGTCACCTTTGGCTACATGAAACATTTCAAGAAAAAGAAAAACTACAAGGATAATAATTGTTGGAGGCAAGATTCAACTGTGGGTGCTAAAATTAGTGGGCAACAGTTTAAGATGAAACAGTTTTGAAAGCAGTTCCCTACAAGACACTGATTAAACAGGAGAACCATAACTTTGCAGTAGAGAGACCCACTGATGTCATATAACCAAGTAAGAGAAAAATCAAGGGGCTGGAGAGGTGGCTTAGTGGTAAAGAGTGCCTGCTCTTCTTGCAGAGGACCAGGCTTTGGTATCCAGTACCCATGTCCAGAAACTCACAATCACCTGTAACTCCATCAGGAGACCAATGCCTCTTCCAGACTCTGGGCACCTGCACTCATGCACACGCACCAACACATAGATAAAGAAAGATAGACAGACAGATAGCTAGACAGACATGCACCTTAAAAACAAAACCAACATTTCTCCTGACTCAACACGCTAAGAATAACGCATCCATTCTGCAGTATTCTTACCCAAGATGCAGAACCTTGATACAATCATGAAGAAACATCAAATCCAATAGGAAATAACTCACCAGTGCCCTTTGAAAGTATCATGTCACAGAGAAGAGCAAAAACAGGCTGGAGGAAACTGAGGACTCAGAACACCTGGGTTCGAATCCCAGCACCCACAGAGCAGCTAACAACTGTCTATAACTCCAGTCCTAGGGGATCCGACAGCCTCTTCTGACCTCTGAGGGCATTGCATGACACCAGTGCACTTACCTACATGCAGTACATGTATACACACAAAATAAAAATAATTTTTTTTAAAGTTTTAAATTAAAAATATTTTTAAATTTTTTTCTGAGAAAATGGTTCAGTGAATAAAGTGCTTGCAAACTGTTTGGATCTCCAGAACCTATATAAATAGGGGGTGGGCATGGCTGCCCAGTAACTCCAGTACTTCAAAGCCGAGACAGAAGATTCCCAGAGCAAGCTAGTCGTATTGGTGAGGTGTGGGTTCAACTGAGAGACTCTGCCTCAATGAATAAGATGGAGGGTGATCAATGAAAACTCCCAGTGTCAGTCTTGGGCCTCTACATACATTGGCACACACATGTGCAGCCACATACATGTGAACATGCATATACACCTGCATGCCATATACACATACAAAATAGATAAAGAGAAAGCCTTGGGACTGGGAATGTACCTCAGTCAGCAGCATGCACAAAGCCCTGGGTAGGATTCCTAGCACCATATAAGAACTGGGCACAATGGCATACACATGTGATACCATCCTTGGCTACACAGTGAATTTGAGGCCAGTCTGGGCTACATGAGACTCTGTCTTAAAAACCAGAAGACAGAGACAGAGACAGAGAGACTGACAGACACTGACTGAATGTGGTGGTAGGTACCTGTAATTTTCACACTCAGGAGACAAAGGCGGGTCCACAAGTATAGGCCAGCCTATGCTACATAATCTGGACCTTATCTCAAAAATTAAAGCAGAGAAGTGCTTGAATAGAAAAAAAAGTTGGAGAACTCATATGTTCTAATTAAGAAACTTAACTACAGGGCTGGCAAGATGGCTCAGCAGGTAAAGGCATTTGCTACTCATCAAGCCTGATGATCCGAGTTTGAGCCCTGGAACCTTCATGGTAGAAGGAGAAAATTGATTCTTATCACCACATGTGCCCTGTGTCCCCTAGCTCCTGCCACATATACACAATGAATAAACAAATATAATTTAGAACCACCTAACTACAAAGCTAAGTAAGTGTGGTGGAACAGGACTATAATTCCGATGCTTGAGAAACTGAAGCAGGACTGAGAGTCTGAGGCTGGCCTGGGCTACAGAGTAAGCCTTATCTCAAAACCAGAAAACAAGTCCTTTAATCCCAGTACTTGGGAGGCAGAAGCAGGTGGATCTCTGTGAGTTCAAAGCCCACCTGGTCTACATAGGGAGTTCCAGGCTAGCTGGGGCTAAAGGGAGACCCTGTCTCAAAAAGACACTGCCCCCCCCCAAAAAAAACCAGAAAACAAAAAACAGCACAGGCCTGGAAAGACAGCTCAGCTCTTGCAGAGAACCAGGATTCAGTTCCCAGCACCAATATGGTAGCTGACAAGAGTCTTTAACTACAGTTCCAAAGGATTTGACACCCTCTTCTGGCCTCCTCAGGCACCTGCATGCACATGGTACACTTACACAAAAGCAGACAAAACACTCATACACATTAAATAAAAATAAATCTTAAAGGGGCTGGAGAGATGGCTCAGTGGTTAAGAACACTGGCTGTTCTTGCAGAAGACCCAGGCTCAAATCCCAGCACCCACATGGCAGCTAACAACTGTCTGTAACTCTAATCCCAGGGGATCTGACAGCCTCTTCTGACATCCGAGGGCAATGCAGGACACAGGTGCACTTACCTATATGCAGGAAATACACTCATACACATAAAATTAAAATTAAAATAAAAAACAGTAGGCCGGATGTGGTGGCGCACGCCTTTGATTCCAGCACTTGGGAGGCACAGGCAGGCGGATTTCTGTGAGTTCAAGGCCAGCCTGATCTACACAGTGAATCCCAGGCCAGCTGGGGCTACAGGGAGACCCTGTCTCAAAGAGGCCAAAAAAAAAAAAGTTCTTTATTTTTTTCTAATTTTATTATTTTTATTTTATGCGTATGCGTGTATTGCCTCCATGTAGGTAAGTGCACCTGTGCTGTGCAATGCCCACGGAGGTCAGAAGAGGCTGTCGAATCCCCTGGGACTGGAGTTACGGACAGTTGTTAGCTGCCATGTGGGTGCTGGGATTCGAACCCGGGACTTCTGCAAGAACAACCAGTACTCTTAACCACTGACCCATCTCTCCAGCCCCAAGTTCTTTATTTTAAAAACATTTTAAACTTGTGCTGGGACTGGTGTTCAGCTACTCAGGAGGCAGAGGCAGCTGGGGAGAGGCCAGCCTGGTGTACATAAGTTCCAGGCCAAGAGGCCTGCCAGGGCTGCCTATATAAATAATTTTAAAACAAAAAACAAAAAAATGAAGAAAAAGAGATGACGGTATAGATAGCACAGTTATGAATTGTTTACCTACCATGTGAGAGGCCCTAGATTCAATCTTCAGTATTGCTAAGTAAGTAAATAAGACATACATAAATTTTTTGTGTATCAAAGGACATTGTCAAAGAGGGAAAAAAAACCAATTCCAGAATGGGAAAAATATTTGCTAATCCTGAGTCTGATAAGGATTTAATATTCAGAGTACACTAAAATCTCCTATAACTCAAAAAAACACAATATAATCTAAAAAATGGCAAAGAGTTGAACAGACATTTCTGTAAAGAAGATATACAAATGGCCAAGGTACACATGAAAATATATTCAACATCATTAGTCATGAAAGAAACACAAATCAAAACCACACTAAGCTACTATTTCATGCCCACTAGGATGACTATCAATCAAAAGATGGAAAATAGCCACAGCTGGTAAGGATGTGAAGAAACTGGAACCCTGGGCACTGCTGATGGGAACACAAGATAGTGTGGCCAGTGTGGAAACACAGAATCACTATCTGACCCAGCAGTTCCACATGTAAGTACATTCAATCAACTGAAGTTAGAGACTTGAATAGATACTTGTACAACAACGTTCACTACAGCTTATCCGCAACAGCCAGAAGGAAGAAACAACCTACGTGTCTGTGAACAGAAAAATTGTATAAACAAATGTGGGATGCACAAACAAAAGAACAGTATTAGCTATGGAAAGGAACAGAGTTCTAATATGACACAGCATGGATGAATCTTACTTATGCTTTGTGTCCCAGGCACACTACAACATTGTAGAATAATTTTACCATTGTATTTTGTTTTGGTATAAAGGGATATTCTTTTTTTTTCATTTTATAAAATGTATAAAAAATGTACCTAACATAATGAAAATGCTATATAACTACAGCATTGAGAAAATAATGACAGGGCCCAGTATGGTGGCGCACACCTTTAATCCCAGTACTCAGGAAGCAGAAGCAGGTAGATCTCTGTGAGTTCAAGACCAGCCTGGTCTACATAGTGAGTTCAAGGCCAGTTGGGGCTATAGGGAGACCCAGTCTCAAAAACAACAACAACAACAAAAAAAAAAATGACAAGAAAAATGCACAAGTTCAGTTTGTACACAGCTCCTCCTTCTACCTCCCTGCCCTGTCCCTCCCCCACTGTGTCCTTCCCCATTTCATGTCCTATGTCTTCAGTTACCCTCCCCAACCTCTTCTTTAAAGCCTCTTTATTCCCCCATGGTAAGGGCCCCATACTAATTTCTGGATTCTCCTCATCTGATATTCTCCTTTGAACATTTTTGTATATTCAATAAATCTAATTTGCTTAAGAAAAAAAAACAAGAATAGGAAATGTACAACAGACATGACAAAATTTTCTCTATCCTGCTAATGCAGCACTTAGTGGGAATCAATCACAGGTATGCACTCTGGAGCTGCCTTTTGTACCTTACCTTGCCATTGAGAACAATGTTCTGGCTTCCACACAACACAGATTGGCAACTAACTTTGTTCCCAGATGCCTGAAAGGAAACAGAAAACTGGGCTGAACAATCTGAGAGGGTTACTAGGCTATAGGTGTTCACCAAGAAACCTCATATTGCAGAGAAAATATCTTTAAATGAATAGTAGTATAACATAGGATGGGGGCTGGGGTATGATATTGCACACCTACAATCCCAGCTCTTGGCAGGATTATGAGTTTGAAGTTAGCCAGAAACGCACAGTTGAGAGACCCAGTCTCCAAAAACCAAAATAGGGAAGGGAGGGAGGGAGGGAGGGAGGGAAGGAAGGAAGAGGAGGGAGGGAGAGGGGAGAAGGGAGGGGAGCCAAGGCTTGGGCCTAGCTCAGTGGTACAATGTCCTGGTTTTGATCCACAGTAACCCCAACATATAAAATAGAATTAATCTGAGATAGCGAAAGAGCAAGGATGGATTAGGAACTAAAAGTTCAAGAAATGGATTCAGAATTTCTATCTGGTTGATCTAAAGTTTAGTGACCACAGGCAGACAGATGTGCATTCCAACCCCAGTTTCATACTTCGGGTTTTACAGCCCTAAATGAGGATAATGACTCTACCATAATCATGATTATGAAAATATGAAGAAAAAAATGATAGTAACTTTAACTGGGCGCTTGCTTTGTTTCCAGCATTTTATACATGTTATTGTGTTGACTATTAGAAACTTAATAACTTTTTAGCATGCTAATGGGCTATGAAATATTATTTAAAAAAATAGTTTCACCCTTATAGATGTGGTGGCTCATGCCTTTAACCCCAACACTGAGGAGGCAGAGGCAGGCAGATCTCTGTGAGATCAAGGCCAGTCTGGTCTACATAGCAAGATCCAGGCTAGCTGGGGCTACAAGGACATCCTTTCTTAAAAAAAAAAAATAAATAAAACACCAAAGTTTTAAAGGAAGGGCCCAAAGCCTGAAGCTGTAATTAATATTAGGATGGATAGGATCTGTTCTGTATTCCAGACGATACTTTATCTCCACAGGAAAATCAGCGATGTTTTATATATATACACACACACACGTAATATTACCACACTCCTACATATATCTATATACATACAGACACACACGTATGTATATACATCCTAATCTGGGCATGCACGGACTAAATCAGACGATACGGATAGCGTGGCTAGGTCATCCCCAAGGAACAGACAAGGGGAGCAGGGGTGGGTGCAGCAGGGGCCCGAGGGGACGCCGCCCAGGCCTCCAGAGGCATGCAGGGGCCGCGGGCCAGTCGGCAGAGGCCGGGTCCTCTCTCGCGCACCGTCTCGATGTATTCCGACTTGTTGTAGAGCAGCTCGCCCAACTCCATGGCTGCCTCTCCTCTGGGCACCTCAGGATCCTGTCACAGTCTCGCAGGTTGACAGGAGAGACACTGCCTACTTCCGGCTGTCCTTCCACTTCCGTTCTCCGCGTCCCGCCCCTTGGCGCTCAACGACAGCTCGTCTCTCCCATAGGCGGCCGCGCTTAGCGGTCCCGGGCTGCGCGTGCGCAGACGGAGTGGCGGTGTTAATTGGTCAGAGCGGCTGGCGCGCGCCTCATGCGTGAACCAGCCGGTTGCGCACTGAGGGTAGCGGGTGTATCCTGTTCTTTCCCGGGTTGCCTCCGGGCCCAGCAAGGCCCTGCTGAGTCCCGGTGATCGCAGGCCCCAGGCTGGCGCTGGTTGGCGCTGGCGTTCGGCCTCCACCCCGATGGAACTGCCTCCGGGGACGCCCCTCAGCTGTGCAGAGAAGGAAAAGGTGCCCGGGGTGCGGGAAGGGGGCCCACAACTCAGACCCCTCTTTCCAGGACTTCAGCCTTGGCTGGGTTTCCTCCCCTGGGGCCGCAGTGTCCTGCCACCTACGCAGGAGGTCAAAGCCGGCGTTGCTCAGGTCGTGGCGTTTAAAAAGGAAGTAAGCGGAGCTTCCAGGAACCGAGCATAATTACAGGACGTAAACTTTGTAGATAATCTAAAATCCCCCTTAGCGTCTCCCAGCTGTAGCCTTGACCTCTCTCAAGTTAATCTTTTTTAAATCTATTTTATTATGTGTATGAGTGTATTGCCTGCATGTATGTAAGTGCACCGTGTCGTGCAATGCCCGTGGAAGTCAGAAGAGCACATTGGATCCCCTTGAACTGGAGTTCCAGGCAGTTGTGGGGTCATGTGGGTGCTGGGAACCGAACTGAGGTCCTCTGCAAGAGCAGCCAGTCCTCTTAAACTTTGAGCCATCTCTCCAGCCGCAACCAAGTAAGTCTTTTAACAGTCTTGTACTTCTAGATAATGTGTTTACATTAGGGAGGGTTTTCACCTGTAAAAAGCATTATTTATTGGAGAGGGGAATATCTAAAATGTATGATCTGAATGATTCTTCAAAATTTTTATTCTCCAAATTAGAATAGACAGGAAAGATAGATATTGTATATAATATGTATGTATTATTGGATGTATGTGTATGAAAATTTTAGAAGTGCCCATATTTTTTAAAAGTTTTTCTTTTTTTTTTTTTTTTGGAGACAGGGTCCTGCTGTGTAGCCTGGCTAGCCTGGAATTCACGGTATAGACCAAGTTGGCTATGTAGACCAAGTTGGCCTTGAACTCAAGAGTTCAAATGCTGGCATTAAAGGCATGTGGCCCCCACACCTGGCAAATATTTATTCTTATTTTTAATTATGTGTGTATCATTGTGGTGGTCTGTGCAGTTGTCCAAGACCACAGGTGTTGGACCCTTTGGAGCTGGATTTAAGGCAGTGGTGAGTAGCCTGACATGGGTGGTGGGATCCAAACTCAAGTCCCGTGGAAGAGCAGCAAGCACTCTTAACCACTAAGCCATCTCTCTGGTCCCTGCCCTCATTTCTTTAGGGCTCTATTGCTCAACTGCAAGACTAGATTGTTTCCAGGTTTTTGTGCTTGATTAGATTCCACATCAGTTCATCAGTCTTATCCTGGCTGTCCCTTGCCTTCTAGTACAGGTGAGAAGAATCATTTACAAATAAACACTAAAACTCCCAGATACTGGTAATGTTAGTGAGAAGAAGGCAAGAACAGAGGTTAAGAACACAGACTAAGGATGGGCTTGGCAGTGCATGCCTTTAACCCCAGCACTCAGGAAGCAGAGAATCTCTGTGTGTTCAAGGCCAGCCTGGTCTACATAGTGAGTTCCAGGCTAGCTGGGACTAGAGGGAAACCCTGTCTCAAAAAGACCAAAAAAAAAAAAAAAAGAAAGAAAGAAAAAACACAGACTCTGAGCTCTTCCTGTGTGGGGCTTTTAAATGGAGTCATTATCATAAATTGTAGCATCCTGGATAAACTGCTTTATCTGTGTTCAGTTATGCTCTGTAAAAGGAAGATGATAGTAGAATCTACTTGTTAGGGTTGTTGTTGAGTCAATTACATTAATGTCACTTACAAAGATCCCTATCAGCAATTTAGGCATATGAAAGTATCAACCATTTATTTATTTATATTTTTATTTTATGTGTATGAATGTAATCACCTGCATGTGTGTTAAGTGCACCCATGTTGTGCAGTGCCCACAGAGGTCAGAAGGTGGCATCGGATCCCCTGGAACTGGAGTTACAGATGGTTGTTAGCCACCATGTGGGTGCTGGCGATAGAATCCGGTTCCTCTGCAAGAGCAGTCTCAACCACTGAGCCATCTCTTTTATTATCGTGTATTCAAAAATGGATACGGGCAGAGGTGACTTTAGTGCAGAAGTGCTAGAGTCAGCAACGTGCTCTGAAAACTTTTAAAATAAATGGTTAATTAAAGTTCACTTAGTTTTGGCTGTGGCTTGACTCCTGGGCTTTCAGTGCATTTTCATCTGTCAAAAAGAACCTCAGTCTCACAGAAAACCATTGTATGTTGAAGTGTTTAAGTTGCCATTTTATTGGTCTTTTCTCTTTGCCACCTCCAATTCCCCTTTCCCAATGAAAGCAATGTCAAGTTAAAAAAAAAAAATAAAGGTCCAGGGGCTCGAGAGATGGCTCAGCAGTTAAGAACACTGGTCATTCCTGCAGAAGACCCAGGTTTGAAACCCAGCACCCACATGGCAGCTAACAACTGTCCATAACTCCAGTCCCAGGGGATCCGACAGCCTCTTCTGACCTCCGCAGGCATTGCGAGTTATGGACAGTTGTTAGCTGCCATGTGGGTGCTGGGATTTGAACCCGGGTCTTCTGCAAGAACAGTGTTCTTAACTGCTGAGCCTTCTGCCTATAGCTTTTTTAAATTTTAAAGACAGAGTCTTATGTATCCCAAGCTGGTCTTGAACTTGCTAGGCAATCAAGGATGGCCTTGAATTCACACCCCGCCCCCCACCGTGGGGCATTACAGATGTACCTCACCAGACTGGGTTTATATAGTACTGGGGATCAAACCCAGGCCTGAGTACAATTAGGCCAGCACTGTACCAACTGAGCTACATCCCCATCCCTGTTTGTTTTGTTTTTAAAGGTGTATACTGGTGATAGAAATCTGATTATTGTCTGAAGGATGAATGAAAGATGTGGGTGACTTTGCTGCTGAGAGAATCTCAGAAGCCAAAGAAAATCTAAGCTTTCAGAGACTAGTGATTTGGCATAGCCCAATTAAATTTATTCATAAAAGTTTTTTTAGTGCCTGGCTGGGAACTCGGCAGTAAAAGCTCCTACCTCCTTTACTGGCCTTGTTCTTCAGATATATTGAACCCATTCTGCCATGGAACTTTCCCATTTGTGATGTCCTCTATCTATCCCCCGGCCTCCCCAAACCTAGCCCCTTCAGGTCTAAGTGCAAATGGTAGCCCTTAGAAAAGTCTCTGTGACTATACTCCCTGAAGTATTATCTTCAGGAAACTAATTTCTCATTTTACCACTTGATTAGGTGTTTATTACCACTTTTTTTTGTGGTCATTTTGAGACAGGGTCTCCTGTAGCCCCAGCTGTCCTGGACCTCACTATGTAGACCATGCTGGTCTTGAACTCACAGAGATCTGCCTGTCTCTGCCTCCCTAGTGCTGGGATTAAAGGCAGGTGCGTGCTACCATGCCCGGCTATGAAATCTTATCTGTAGTCTTGCTTATTATCTATATTCCTCACTACATGGAAATTGCCTTAACTACCTTGTACTCCTGACACCCACAGAGGGTGTCTATTATTGCAAGTGCTAGGGATGCCTTGGCCATTAATAAGATTCATTGCTTTAGTCATGGGTAACAGATCTTACGTTGATGGAATGAAACAAGAAAATGGACAGCACAGTGTGTGGTGCACTAAATTCTGTGATGAGGGGAGCACAGAGGAGGGAGGGAGTATCTAAATTGGGCTTGAACAAGAACCTAGAAGTCTGTCCCCGGGGAAATAATCCTGCAAACTGAGTGCTTGATGAACCTAAGAACCTAGGAATCATCGTCAAAGGGAAGAAATATTCTGGGTGACAGGAACCATTCTTACGTAGGTCCTGAGAGAACTTGGTGCTTTGTAGGAACTGAGGGTAGGTCTGGATGGAGACCTGCTCCTCCCTCTGAGTCTGACTGAGGAATGCTGCTGAGCACCGCTGCCTAGGTTTGCAGTCTCAGGTCTGCTAGGCACTGTATCCCTTCCCTCTGACTTCACTTTTCCATTGTTCAGGATTGTTGATGTTTTTCTTTCAGTTGAAGGAAAAGTTAGCATATTTGAAAAAGGAATACAGCAAGACACTGGCTCGCCTTCAGGTAGGTGAATCATATTCTGTCAAATTAAGGTGTTGCACAAATTATATAAAAACATTTTGAGCTGGGTGTGGTGGTACATGTCTTTAGTCCCAGTGCTTAGGAGGCAGAGGCAGGCGGATCTCTCTGAGTTCGAGGCCAGCCTGGTCTCCATTAGTGAATCCAGGCCAGCTGCAGCTACAGGGAGACCTTGTCTCAAAAAGACCAAAAAATAATATATATATACGTATATATATATATACACACATATATATATATATATACGTATATATATATATTGGTTTTGTTTTGGCCTGGTGTTTGGTTTTGAGACAAGGCTCTCTATATAGTTCATTATGGACTTAAATTCATAATCCTGGGCTAGCAAGATGGCAGAGAGGGCAAAGGTGCCTGCTGCCAAGCCCAACAAACTGAGTTCAAGCTCCAGGATCAACATGGTGGAAGGAGACTTGTGCTCTGACCTCTATACATATGCCAGGCTACACACACACAATAAATAGATAAAAATGTAATGAAAATAATAAACTGATAATCCTGCCGCCTGAGTGCTAGGATAACAGGTGTGTACCACTGTGCCTAGTTGAAAAAAAAACATTGACAGTAATGAAGCTTTAAGGAAAATTGATTTCTCAGGATGCTTTTGTTTTTTCTAGCGTGCCACAAGAGCTGAGAAGGTTAAGAATTCTAAGAAAACAATAGAGCAGGAACTGCCATCACAGCTAAACCTTTATTCTGGTAAATCTAGCCTCTTTGCTTACACTTGCTGTATATTCATTCCCCAACTCTTTTCACAGCCCATGGATTCGAAGCAATAGACTTAAAAAATAATTTTAAATGTTTTTTAATGCAATAGAATTTTATATTTTTCATTACGATTTCTAATAAAATTTAAAGTTTAATTTTTTTTTTTTTTCTTTAAACGACAATGTCTCCCTTTAGCCCCTAGCTGGTCTGGAACTCACTATGTAGACCAGACTGGCTCACAGAGCTCCTCTTACCTCTGCCTTTTGAGTGCTGGGATTAAAGGTGTGTGCTTTAATCCAATTTAGGAAAGTTTCGGAAAGATTTTTTTTTTAATACTTTATTTATTGTTTTTATTTTATGTGTATGAGTGTATTGCCTGCATGTGTGTAAGTGCACCCATGTCATGCAATGCCTGAGGAGGTCAGAAGAGGGTGTCACATCCCCTGGAACTGAAGTTATAGACAATTGTTAGCCACCATGTGGGTGCTGGTAATTGAACCTGGGTCCTCTGCAAGAGTAGTCAATGCTCTGAATTGGTGAGCCATCACTCCAGTCCCAGAAAGATTATTTTTTAAAGATGTATCTACATATGCACAGAAAAAAGTCTATATAAAATAATCTAGATAATAGTCTTGGTAAACAGTGGTGGGCTGGGGCTGTACCTCAGTGATAGCTTCCCTAACATGCATAAGGCTCTGGATTCTATCCCTGCCACTAGGAGGAAAAAAATCATCCTTGGTGTCAAAATCCAAGTTATTTATAATCATAAAATTGGAGGCAGTTGAAATGAGAAAGTGATATTAAAATAATAGGAAGAAAGGGAGGGAAAGAGAAAGAAGGTGAGGGGTTGGAGATAGAGCTTAGGGCTAAAGCACATATTGCCTGTGATCACAGCACTTAGAAGGCTGAGGCAAGAGGATCGTGACTTTGAGGCTAGTCTGAGTTATGTAGTGAGACTGTGTCAGAAAACCAAACCAAAAAAAAAGTTGTGTTTTTTTGTTTTTTTTTTTTTTTTAGAGAAAAAGGACTAGTAAGATGGCTCATTGGGTAAAAACACTTGCTGCCAAACCTGAAAATCTGAGTTCAGTTCTTGGGACCCACATGTTGGAAGGGAGAACTGCCTCCCAAAACTTGTCCTCCGCTTCCACATACATACTGATGCATGCATGCTCATACATACACACAATAACTGTATGTAATAGAAGAAATTTTTAAGTGTTTGTTGGAGATGGAGAGATGGCTCAGCAGTTAAGAGCACTGACTGCTCTTACGGAGGACCCAGGTTCAGTTTCCAGCACCCACATAAGGGCTAACAATCATCCCAAACTCCAGGTCTAGGGGATCCAATGCCCCCTTCTGACCTCCACGGGCATTGCACACATGTGATACACTTAAATACTTGTAGGCAAAACATTCGAACACATTAGAAAATATATATAATTTTTAAAAAATTTTATTTATTTTATTTTATGTGTATGCATGTATTGCCTGCATGTAGGTAAGTGCACCATGTCGTGCAATGCCTGCAGATGTCAGAAGCGGCTGTTGGATCCCCTGGGACTGGAGTTACGGACAGTTGTTAGCTGCCATGTGGGTGCTGGGATTCGAACCTGGGTCTTCCCCAAGAACAACCAGTGTTCTTAACCGCTGAGCCATCTTTCCAGCTACTAAAAACATATGTATATAATTTTTTAAAATTTAAAAAAGGTGGGGGCTAGAGAGATGGCTCAGCACTTAAGAGCACTGGCTGTTCTTGCAGAAGACCTGGATTCAAGTTCCGGCACCTACATGGCAGCTAACAACCATCTATAACTCCAGTTCAGGGGGGATCCAACACCCTCTTCAGCCCTCCACAGGCACTGCACAAAATGGGTGCACCCACCTACCTACATGCAGGCATTACGCTTATACACATTAAAAAAAATTTTTAAGGCAATTTCTATGAAGGGCAACCTCTTAGTTTAAATGATTTTTAGCACAATTATGTTTCTTTAACATTTTATAGTTCGTTAGAATTTTTAAAACTTAAACCTTGATCTCATTGAATGAAATGACTTTTTTTCCAAATTAAATATTCAGTATTTTTGTGGTGCTGGAATTCAAACCCTTATTCTATAGCAAGTGCTTTGCCAGTGATCACACACCCCCAGCCATATAATATCTTTAACAGATTTTTAAAAATTGTTTCATCTTAAAAGGAAAATGCCATTTACATACTTTTTTGAGTGTTCTGGAGACTAAGAGCTACATAGATAAATGTGTGTGTATATATGTCTATTTTTATTCTTTTCCCCCCTCAGAACCTAAAAATGAAGGCTCTCCTTATGACAAGTTACAAATCAACCGTCTTGATGAGGAAACTGGAGAAAAGACACCTGAGACCCTTGATGTTGAACCTGAGTCCTTTAACCCTAAGGATAGCCAGGAAGAAGTATATACACAGAGAACAGGCAACATCCAGGAATGTTTTCTGCATCACATCAGTGGCCCTGATGGTGAGAAAGGGCAGAGCGAGCTGCCAGGGGCAATAAAGAAGCAGCCGAAGAAAACATTTTTTTCACGGGAGGAAGGATATTTTTTTGATACTAATTCTCTCATACTCTCTGGAAAAAACCTAAAGAAACAGGAGGACATCAGCGGAAGTCCTAGGTCCCCCATAATTGCCATAACTCACATTTTAAGTCTTAACTCTCCAGACCCTCTAGCCCAAGGTACAGAAACTGATGGAGGTACATTAATTTTACCATCCGCCAAATCAGAAAGGGATGTTAAGATACCCTTAAGAAGAAATAGTGTCTCCAGAGAGGCTGCAGTTCCTTTGTGTATGATCTCAGATAGCAGTAACAGTCAGCACCTTGAACATACACCCCCTAACAGGGAGTGGAAACTTCCTTCTCAGAGGCTTGAAAACATTAGTCCAGCTTCATCCATAAACCTGAAGGCACAAGACAGAAAAATGACTCTTTCTATAGATAAGCCAATAGTAAATAAAGCTCAGCATGCCAGTGGTCAGCTGCCAGGAAGTCCTAATTCAAAGGCAGGCGATTCATGTTCTGTAAATGAACTCATTCACAGTACCTCACTAGCAAATATAATCCCAAAGTTAGTAGAACAAAACCACAAAGAAAAATCTTCAAAATCTCCTACCAATATTCCTGATGGTAGAAATGAAAATTGTGAGGAAGATGAGGTTGTGTGTGAATCTAAGAGCCTTGGCCCAGGAGCAGGTTCTCTACCTACAGAAAAACAAATACATTCTTGCACAATGCTTGAAGGCCTTCTGTTTCCTGCAGAATACTATATTAGAACAACACGCCATATGTCAGATTGCCAGAGGAAAATAGCTCTGGAAGCTGTGATTCAAAGTCATTTGGGTATCAAGAAGAAAGGGGTTAAGCATAAAAATAAGGAAACAACTAAAAGTTTAAACCTTTCCAGTGAAGAAACTGACAAAAGCGAAAGTACCATGTTGTCAAGTTCAGGAAGTCCTTCTCAGGAACTTCTCTCCACAGTTGAAGTCGGCTCTCCCACTGGGCCCACTGAAGCTAATTGTTCTAGGAAGGCCTCTGTACAGACACCTGGTAGAAGACACAGTGGAAAAAGAAAATCAGTGCACACCTCGGAACAGGAGCATCATGAACTGCTTTTTCCACCTTGCACCATACTGGATGTTAACAGATCCAAGAACAAATTCATTGTTGAAGGTAAATCAAGTTGTGTTTGATGATGGATGGGCATGGTGGCAGCTAATCATTACTGTGTTCCTGGCTCTTCTAAAGGCTGCACTGTACTACCTCAGTGAATCAGCACAGCCCTACACAAGTAGGACCTGTTTTTATCTTCATTTTCAAGCAAGAAAAGTAAGGCAGAGAGGCTAAATTGACTTTAAATGGCAGAGCTAAGGTTAAAACTTGGCAGTAATGGCAAGTAATGTGGTTGAAAAATTTGGAAGGAATTTGTTGGGTGCTTACCCAAATAAATCTCTCTTCAGGTATAGCACAGTCTATCCCTGGTACAATCTTTAATTTAGGGAGTGTTTTGAAGTAGAATGGAGTACATGTTAGATAAGACTACAGAAAAGTCTCTTAGAAGCAGTCGTTGATGGAAAGGCATGAGGACTTTCTTAGATAACAATATCTGTGCCCTGGGACACGAGATTTTGGAGAATAGCAAGCAAGAATATTTAAACTTTGTGTTCACTGTCTCAGAAGTTGATCATACCTGATAAACTGAGAGGGAAAACTGGATCATTGTGGCTTTAAATACTGGATGAGGAAATGCCCTGTGAAATCAGATAATGACTGTTTTAGTCTTCATTTGTCTCACCTTCTCAGCTGTGATACACAGCATCCACAGATAATATGTAATTTCCTGTTTCTATAAAACGTTTTGTATAGAAATAGGCAGCAAACTTACATGCCATTGAACATAGACTTTTGTCTGTGAGCCTAATTCGTTAATTAAAAATAGGAAACATAGCCAGGTGTGCCAGGTGTGGTGGCTCGTGCCTTTTTAATCCCAGCGCTTGGGAGGCAGAGGCAGGTGCATCTCTATAAGATCAAGGTCCACATGGTCTACTTAGCAAGTTCCAGACTATCTGGGGCTATAGGGAGACCCTGTCTTAAAAAGATGAAAAAAAAGGAGGGGGGGTATGGCTTTTTTCATTATCTTCTAATTAACAATACAAAGATTAAAAGAAAGAAAAAAGGCCAGGTGTGGTGGTGCACATCTTTAGTCCCAGCAGCCAGGAGGCAGACAAAGGTGTGTCTCTTTGAGTTCTCAGCTAGACTAATCTACATAGTGCATTCATATCTCAAAAAATGAAGTATGTACTTCAATAATTAGGGACTTTTTAAAAATATATATATTTTTTTATGTGTATGAGTATATTGCCTGCGTATATGTAAGTGCAACTGTGTCTGACCACAGAGGTCAGAGGAGGGCATTGGAGCCCCTGGAACTGGAGTTATGGGTGGTTGTTAGCCATGATGTGGGTGGGTGCTGGGATTCAAACCCAGGTGTTCTGCAAGAACAGCCAATGCTTGTAACCACTGAGCCATCTCTCCAGCTTCCTCCCCACCCCCACATTCTGTTTAATGACACATTTCCCGATCTAGTCCAGGCTGTCCCTGACGTCAAGATCCTTTTGTCTTAGCCTCCAGAATACTAGGATACAAGTGTGTACTACCTTGCCCAAATAGTCAAATTCTTTTTTTTTTTTAATGTTATTTTTATTTTATGTGTATGGGTGTATTGCCTGCATGTGTGTTGTATACCCATGTCGTGCCCATGAAGGTTAGAAGAGGGTGTTGGATTCCCTGGACCTGGAGTTACGGACGGTTGTTAGCTGCCATGTGGGTGTTGGGAATCGAACCTGGGTCCTCTGCAAGAGCAGCCAGTGCTCTTAACCACTGAGCCATCTCTCCAGCCTTCAAATTCGTTATTATTATTTTTTACTTTATGTGTGTGAGTGTATTTCCTACATGTATGTGAGTGTACCTGTGTCAGTGCAATGCCACGGAGGTCAGAAGAGGGCTTCAGATTCCCCAGGAACTGTAGTTAAGGACAGTTTGTAGCTGCCATGTGGGTGCCAGCACATAAAATTTTAAAAAAAGAAAAAAAAACACCAAAAAAACTTTAACTCTTTCTATTATCAAATGTGTTCGTAATATGAATTTGCTTTTTTTTTTTTTTTTTTTTTTGGATTGGGTCTCAATATGTAGGCCTGACTGTCCTGGAACTCACTATGTAGACCAGACTGGCCTTAGACTCACAGAGATCTGTCTGCCTCTGCTTCCCCAGTGTTAGTACTAAAGGCATGCACCACCACGCCTGGCCACGTGCTGCTTTGTAAGGGGTCAAAGAAGGGACATGGCTTTAAATAAAAATTGCAAGATCAGTATCAGTATCAGTATTTAGAGAATTAAGACCTTTTTCTGGAGGTGACATTTACATAACATTAAAGTAACTGGTTTTAGTTAGGTGAATAATCCAGTGACATTTACTGGATTTACTGTGTATACAGCTACCACCTCTAGTTCAAAACCATTTTCATCATCCCACAAGGAAGTTAGCCCATACCCATAAGCACCCACTTCCTATATTCTTTCCTCAGTCCCAAAGCACAGAGAACCATTAGTCTGCCTGGTATCTCTCTAGGGTAGATAGCTTTCTGATACTTATTATAAATCGGATTACATGATGTGTGAGCTTTGTATTCTGCATCTGGCTGTTAGCTCTTAGCATTATGTCCATGATGTATAGTGTATGGGTGTTTCATTCCTTTTTTTCTTTTTCTTTTTGGTCTTTTTGTGACAGGGTCTCCCTGTAGCTCCAGCTATCCTAGAACTTACTATGTAGACCAGGCTGGCCTTGAACTCACAGAGATCTGCCTGCCTCTGCCTCCTGAGTGCTGGGATTAAAGGCATGCACCACCACGCTTGGCTTTCTTTTTATAGCTGATTAGCTTGCTGGCTAGTCATTCTAGCTGAATCAGCAAGCTTAAGGCTCAGTGAGAGACCCTATCAAAAAATATGGTAGAGGCCAGGGGTGGTGGCACAAGCCTTTAGGCAGAAGTAGGTGGGTCTCTGTAAGGTCAAGGCCAGCCTGGTCTACATAGTGAGTTCGAGGCCAGCAGTGGTACAGGGAAACTCTGTCTGAAAAAGAAAAAAAAAAGGTAGAGAGCCATTGTGGTAGTCACCTGACATTGGCTTCTGGCCTCACATGCGTGTGAACACGTGCACATGTACACATACACACACACACATGCACCAAATAATACTACTTAATTAGCTTCTGGTGGTGATGATGCTTTCATTGCTCCATAAGAACAAAATGTTAATTTTAAAGCAACTTACCTTTTCTCAATATCACAGACTTTCAGTTACCTGATGAAGAGTTTGGGCCTCTTAAGCTTGAAAAACTGACGTCCTGCTCAAAAAAAGTGATTAAGGTTCCTGAATCAAGAAAACATGGAAAGAGGCTTCCTAAGGAGGGAAATGGTACTGTTCTGGAGGAATCAATTCCTAAACAAATAGAAGCAGAAATGGAGGACTTGGAAGAGGAAGTTGGTGTTCTATCAGGAAAAGCACATCCTCCAATGCCAGGCCTGAAAAGCCAGCCTATGAGCAAGAGCCTTTCTTCATCCATAGTACTTTTCACTCCTTCAGATACCGCTGTACCTGATGACAGTGACAGACCTGCTGTGGACCTGTGTTCACCCGCTTTTCCGATTTTAGGCACTACTCCAGCTTTTGGCTCCCCCACATACTGTGAAAATGAATCTACTGAAGTTGTTGGTCAGATTTGCTCTACACCCCAGCCGCCTTACTTGGGAGACACAGTTAGTCTTGCTAATAATGGTAAACAATTCAACAGTTCAGCCATCTCACCAAAACTGGATAGCAGCCTGCATGTGTCAGGTAGGCAAGGACAACCTGCCTGTGACCGTGACTCTGGGCCCCAAGCAACACCTCTACCCGTTAAGTCATTCACTTTCAGAGAAAATCAGCTCTGTGGAAATGCTTGCCTGGATTTGCATAAACATTCCATTGAACAGGTACAATTGTTTCCTTTGTGAAATTTTCTCTGAAAGGATGAAATATCTGTGAATATAGACAGTCTGACTTTCTCACATTGACCTCTCAGTATTTAAGGATGTTTCACCATGTTTGTTTGAAGTTACTTCATTATAAATATGTTCTGAGGAAACTAAGGTTAGTTAAAATATGTATTTTGAAATACTGGGAAGGTCATTTTTCGTTTGTCATCAATGAAGTAGTTACATTGCCTCTGTTGCTGTTACTAGAGGTAATAACATCTGGTATAGTTTTGCTGATGGCTTGAGTGAGGAAGGCAAGCATCATACATAAAACATGGACTAATAGTGTAACTTTTGTCTCCACAGACTGAAATTGGAGATCTTGCTGCTTGTGACAGCTTGAACCTAGGCAACCTACAGCTGGTTTCAAAGTTAAAGGTCAGAAGAGTATTTGTCTTGTAAGACTATTTGTCTTGCATCTTACATGCAGAAAGATTTAATGAGCTGATTAAAAAAAAAAAGTTGAAAAGAATTCTATCAGAGCTTATTTTTTGTGTTTTTGGTCTTTTTTGACAGGGTCTTCCTGTAGCCCTAGCTGGAACTCACTCTGTAGACCAGGCTGGCCTCAAACTCACAAAGATCTGCCTGCCTCTGCCTCGTGAGCACTGAAATTAAAGGTGTGCCACCTTGCCCGACTGTCTTGTTTAACACTGTTAACTGTTAAATGTATTGATAAACAGGTGCAGAAGAGCAAATTTGAATTCTTTTTCACAGTGTTTGTAGTTATATTTTGAGCCCTCTTCCTGAAATTTATACAGGCTTGTCGAGAATAGCTTAATTTCTTTTAATGAATTTCTTAGGTTCATTTAAATAAGTAACTCATTTAAATCAAGTATTTTGACAGAGTGAGATGGGAGTTATTCACGCCTCTCCTACTAAATGATGTGATATTCTTGGAGAATCATATAAATGAAATGAAAAATGAATTATGTGTAGTGGCACTTATCTGTAATACCAGCCCTTGGAAGACAGAACACAAGTTTAAAGCTAGTCTGGGCTTCATAATGGGTTCAGAGTCAGCCAGGGCTATATAGTAAAACTCTTTCTGGAGAAAAAAATTGCAGTTTGGAGATTTAGCCTAGTAAATCGATAATCCTGTGATGACCACAAATGTTTCCAAACTTTACTAAGTGTTCTTGAAAATAGAAGTGAGGGTGCAAACTCCCAGCCGGAAACCACTGATATAGATGAAAGAGCTGAGCGTGGTGGTGCACACTTTTAATCCCAGCACCCAGGAGGCAGAGGCAGGCAGATCTCTGAGAGATTGAGGCCAGCCTGGTCTATATAATGAGTTCTAGGCCAGCTGGGGCTACAGTGAGACCCTGTTTCAAAAAGACCAAAAAATATGTATGTGTGTAATTTTTCTTGCATCAGACTTAAAAATCCTGCTTGTTCTCTTTGTCTTTAAAAGCAACTAGCTCTTGGTTCTGATTTTGCTTTGTTTTTGAGATAGTGTCTCACTGTGTAGCTCAGGCTGGTTTTAAACACTGGGATTATAGGCATGCACCACTGTTCCTGGATCATTCATCATTCTAATTGTGTTCTTGTGGTTTTGTGTTTTTATTAACTTGTTCAGCTACATGCTATCTATTTTAGTTTTTTTGGATAATGCCTTTATGATTTTGAATTTTCTGGGAAATGCTGCTTTGGCCATTCTTTAGCTTTGATTCACAGTGCTGTCCTTGTTGTGAATCAAAATGGTTTATTGTGTGTAGTTTCAGTATTGTTCTCTCTTTAACAGGTAATTTCCCCAAGATGTTTGATTTCTAAATAGATAAAGTAGTTTTGTGGGCTGTCTTTCTGTGGTTAAATCAGAATGTATCCCATTCTGGAGTTATATACTTTAAAATCTCTTATTCTGTTCTGGAGTTAGTGTTACATCTGTCATGATATAAATCTGTATAGATAATTTTTTTAGTTACATGAGATCTCTAAAGCCTTTCCTGCATGAAACTTTAATTTCACTTAGCTGGTATTTAATCTAAGTTTTTAATCCATCATTTTTCATGCTTAATCTTTTCATTAAGCAGACCTCAAGTAACCCTTTAACATAACTGTTAACATTCTGCATTAGAATCCTTCATGTTCCTGTTCTGTGGATGTCAGTGCCATGTGGTGGGAAAGAGCTGGTGCCAAGGAGCCATGTATTGTAATTGCTTGTGAAGATGTAGTTTCTCTTTGGAGATCTCTGGATATGTCACAGTGGGAAAAAGCTTATACCTGGCACTTCACAGAGGTGAGTCCAAATCTCAGCTGAAAGACATATGTGTAGTCATTTGTGTGACACAGATAGACAGTTTAGCAAACTTGAGATCTATGACTATATATCATATATCATTTTCTAACATTTATTATGAAATATTTCAAACATAAAAGTTTTTTTAGGCCAGGTGTGGTAGCACATGGCTTTAATTCCAGCACTCAGGAGGCAAAGGTAGGTGGATCTCTGTGAGATCAAGTCTAGCTTAGTTTACATAATGAGCTCCAGGCCAGCTGGGGCTACAGGGAGACCCTGTCTCAAAAATAAAAAAAGAAAGGGCTGGAGAGATGACTCCACAGTTAAGAGCATTGACTGCTCTTGCAGAGGACCTGGGTTTGATTCCCAGCACCCACAGGGTGGCTAACAAGTGTCCATAACTCCAGTTCCAGGGGATCTGATGCCCTCTGACACAGATGACTTATTATACATGGAGGCCTTACACTCATATACATAAAATAAAAATAATCAGTTTTTTAAAAAATCAAATTTAAAGTTTTATGCTGAGCTCCATAAGCCCATTAGCATTGTGCTTGGTTTGCTTTATCATGTTTCTCCGTAGATTTTATTATAGACCTGTTGAAAAAACTTGGGATTACATGTTTCCTCTCACTTACAAACTTGGTGATAACCTGTATTTCTTCCCCTTCACCCAAACATTTTTATTTTCTATCTTCATATCTTTGTCCATCTTCATACACCTCTTACCTGGTTGCAGTCTTGTTTTGCTTAAAATTATTTTTATTATTATTATTGTGTATATATAATGTATATGTGAGTGCAGGCATGTGTGTGCCACAGCACATAGGTTGAGGTCAGAAGATAACTTTCAGAAATTCATTTCTCTCTTTCCACCATGTGCACCAAAATTCAAATTCAAGTCATTAGGCTTTTACCTGCTGAGTCATCTTGCTGACCCCATGCTTATAAATTTGAAGTCCAGAGCTTGAGAGATGGCTCAGTGGTTAAGAGGACTTCCTACTCCAGAGGACCCAGTTTCAATTCCCAGAACCTACATGTGGCACATAACCACCTGTAACTCCAGGGGCTCAGACCCTCTTTTCTGGCCTCCGTGGGCACTGCATGCACATGGTATACTTATATACATGCAAGCAAAACACTCATTCACATAAAATAAAAATAAATCTTAAGAAAACATTTTATATATTTTTCCTTTGGCAAAGAGGGAGACAGGATCTCATGTAGCCCAGTCTGGCCTTAAACTCCCTATATAGCTGAGGCTTGCCTTGAACTCCTTAACTTCCTGCCTCTGCCTCTGACTTCCAAGTGCTGGGATTGTAGGCACATACCAATGCCTGCTTTCTCTGTATGTGTTTAATACTTTATACCTCATCCTTACTCTTCTTGTACCCACAACTTCAAGCATTGTGCTTTGCACAAAGGTGATCGATAAATATTTGTTCAGTGAGTAATAAAATTTTTTTCTTTCTCTGAGGATTAAAACCAGGGCCTTGTTCATGCTAAGCTCATGATCTACCACTAAACTTCACCCCCAGCCCCTAAAACTTAAAAGTATGAGCACCATGCTCAGCTTGTATTACTTACTTAGAATCAGAAACTACAAGAAGAGGGTTTTTCTGAACCTTCTCACATTTGTTCAAATATTGGGAGCAATCCTGATACAGTGAGAATTCAAGACAATATGATAAGCTGGACCTGGTGCTCAGGCCTGTAATTCCAGCTACTCAGGAGGCTGAGGCAGGAGGATCACAAGTTCAAGGCCAGCTTTCTGCAACTTAGACATACCTCAGAATTAAAAGTTGGGAGGGAGGGTACTGAGGTTATAGCCCAGCTGTAGAGTGCCTGCGTAAGGTTCTAGGCCCAGTCCAAGTGCCAAAAAAGAATGATACACATTTTTCATAAAATGTACATTAATTACAAAATAAGTAACCAAATATAATTTTGCTTTATTTAGGTTCCGGTATTACAAATCATTCCAGTGCCTGATGTTTTTGATCTTATATGTGTAGCTTTGGGAAATTTGGAAATCAGAGAAATCAGGTATGCAAATTTAAAAAAAAAAAAATTGGGAGGGGGGACAGGATCCCACTCTGTAGCCCTGGATGGCCTAGAATTTGCTATGTAGACCAGGCTGGTTTTGAACTCACATTGATCCACCTGCCTCTGCCTCCCAAGTGCTGGATTTAAAGGGTACCATGCTGGGCAGGTATGAATTTTTGTGTATGCCTGTATTGCCTGCATGTAGGTAGGTATACCCGTGTCATGCAATGCTTGTGGAGGACAGAAGAGACTGTTAGTTGGATCCCCTGGAACTGGAGTTATGGACAGTTGTTAGCTGTCACATGGGTGCTGGGATTTGAACCCAGGTCTTCTGCAAGAACCACTAGTGGTTTTTTGTTTTTGTTTTTGTTTTTTTTCGGTCTTTTTGAGACGGGGTCTCCCTATAGCCCCAGCTGGCCTGGATTCGCTGTGGAGACCAGGCTGGCCTTGAACTCACATCTGCCTGCCTCTGCCTCCCAAGTGCTGGGATTAAAGGCATGCGCCACCACGCCCAGCACAACCAAGTGTTCTTAACCACTGAGCCATCTCTCCAGCTCCTATACATTTTAATCATATGTAGACTCCCCCTATCTGCACTCCTCCCATAGCCCACTCGTAGAACTTCGTACATTCTGTCTTACATGTTAAAGCCTTTCAACTCAGGTTTGTATACCCAGCTGTTTCTTGGTATGAGTTCATCCAATGAACTCTTCAGCCTATCTAGCATCACTCCCTTAAAGATCAATCAACTCTCCCTCACCCATCAGTGATCACCTGCCAGTAGTTCCTCTCCTCAGCTAAGGTTGGGGCCTCCTGTGCATTTCCCCAGTTCTCTGCTGTTTTTATCTAATTCAGTGTGCATGTTTCTTGTGCTTGCTGTTGCTGTAAGTTCATAAGGGCAACTTCCCAGGAGCCTGTAAGATTCTGTTTCCTTATGGGTCATGCACCACCCTGTCTTCTGCAGTGGTCCCTGAGCCCTGGGTGGGTGAGGTTTAATATAGGAGTCCTATCCAGGGACACGCACTCTGCAGTCTCTTGTGTTCTACACTTTAGCCATTTATGGCTTTCTGTGTTCATCGCCCTCTGTTGCATGAGGAAGTTTCATTGATGAGAGTTGACAGATGCATTAATATTCTCTCTACCCTTTTCCACTATGTTCCGTGAGCACCCACTTGGCAACTATCGACCAACCATCTATAACTCCAGTCCCAGGAGATCTGACACCCTCTTTTGGCCTCTGTAGGCATTGCACAATATGGGTACACTTACATACATGTAGGCAGTACACTCATATGCATAAAATAAAAAAATAATAAAATATTTTTTAAAAAATAAGTAGGGGCTAGAGAGATGGCTCAGCAGTTAAGAGCACTGACGGCTCTTGCAGAGGACCTGGGTTCAATTCCCAGCACCTACATGGCAGCTATCAATCAACTTTAACTCCAGTTCCAGGGGAATCTGGAGCTCTTCTGACCTCCGCAGCATTGCATGACACAGGTGCACTCACATACATGTAGTCAATACACTCATACACATAAAATAAAAATAATAAATAAATATGAAAAAATAAATAGAAGATTTGTTTAAAAAGAAAATCTAGGGGTTAGAGAGATGACTCAGCAGTTAAGAGTGCTTACAGTGCACTTTGAATCAAAGCACCCATGTAACAAACTGGGTGTCCTACAAATACCTGCAGCTTCAGCTATGAGAGATCTGAAGCCCTTTTCTGGCTTGCCAGCATGTACAGGTTGCAACACCTGCATACACATATGTGCGCACACTCATAGACACACATAACAGAGAAAGAAAAGAAAAAAAACTTTTTAAAAAATGTGTAGAGGGGCTGGAGAGATGACTCATGGTTAAGTGCACTGACTACTCTTCCAGAGGACCTGGGTTTGATTCCCAGCACCCATGTCAGGTGGTGCACAATTGCCTGTAACTCCAGCTTCATGGGATCTGGTGCCCACTTCTGGCCTTGTACCCACATGTGTGGCATATACACACACATAAATAAAAATAAATTCATTTTTAAAAATGTGTAGAATGACATCTTTTGAAAGTTGCCATGTAAATTTTATACTTAGTCCTTCAATACTCACTGCTTTATTCTAACTTCTCCCTGTTTGTTTGGGGGGTTTTTTGTTGTATTTTTATTTTGTTTTTTGTTTAGGGTGTTGTTATGTTCCTCTAGTGCTGAAAGTGAAAAGCAAGTGCTACTGAAATCTGGAAATATAAAAGCTGTGCTTGGTCTGGCAAAGAGGAGACTCGTTAGTAGCATTGGGACCTTTGGTGATCAGCAAGTACAAATCATAACATTTGGAGAAAATGGAGGGTAAGAGAAGCATTGGTTGGTCTTAACCATCGGATAAAGAAGCATTTTATCCCAGGCTTCACAGAAAGTGGATGACTAGGACCTTATTTTTCTGTGCTGTAGGTGTGGCAGGTACTGCCTCTATGCCACATTACAGCCTCAAAGCAGGTTTAAAAGGTGGGAGGCAGGCACAGCAGGGAGCCAGTGGAATGGAGTTTGTTTTCTCTTTGGCCTTCTTTGAAATTGCTGTGTGTCCTTTAAATGTTAGAAGTACCATAAGGTTCTAGACTCTTTCTTTGTTCTACATAGTTGGTGTCCATTGCTTCAGTGCCAACTAGATGATCACTACCTGCAGGTGTACATTTCTAGCTCAGAATCATTTCTCATGGCCTAGACCTGCATGTCTGTGTAGTATCCATCTCACAGATACTTCAAGGTCACCACATGGGAACTTGAACTAAAAGTCTTTTTTTCTCTGCATATTATATCCTTACTTTATTTTACCTGTTTCTTACTTTAGTCCTGGGGATTGAGCCCTGGACTTTATGCTTACTAAGCATATTCTCTACCACTGAGCTACACTTCTAGCCTGTTATACTTGTTTTTTGCCATTCCTAATAACTGAAAACAGAACCTTATTTGTTGTAGTTATTCACGAACCGTCATGGTAATCCAGGCAGGAGACAAGTGATTGCTTAAATTAAGAAAATGACTTCAGGCCTGGTGTGGTGGTGCATGCCTATAGTCCCAGCACTTGGGAGGCAGAGGCAGGCAGATCTCTGTGAGTTCAAGGCCAGCCTGGTCTACGTAGTGAGTTCCAGGACAGCTAAGGCTACAGGGAGACCCTGTCTCAAAAAGACAAAAAAAAAGAAAAGAAAAGAAAATGACTTTGGGCCAGGTGCATGCCTTTAGTCCCAGCACTAGGGAAGCAGAACCAGGTGGATCTCTGTGAGTTCAAGGCCAGCCTGCCCTACATAGTGAGTCCCAGGTCAGCTGGGGCTATAAGGATACCCTGTCTCAAAAAAGACTTCATGTGGTGGTGCACCCCTGTAATTCCAGCACTTGGAAGAACTAATGTGGGTTTAGTTCAGTCTGGCCTATATAATGAGTACCAGGACAGCCTGAGCTACATAGCTACATAGCCAAGAACCTGACTCAAAACAGTCACCAGGAAAGTGTTGATGGACAGGGAAGGAGGCAGACAGAATTGTTAGAAATAAGACTACAAAGTCAGTAAGACTTGCTGATCTAGTGGCTTAAGAGGAATGGAACAATGTCGAGGTTTCAGGGTTGGTCACCTGGGTAGATGGTAGTGCAATTCATTGAGATAGGAATGTAAAAGAAATGGGTTTTAAAAATATCACTCCTGAGTTTCATTTTGGGTATAAGGAGTTTCAGCTTGCAATATGTCTAAGGTGATAAAATGTTTAGAATACATGTTTTCTGGTGAATTTTTTTCTGATATTACATTAACTTTTATTGTACATAGTTCAGTAATATATAGAAGGGCTACTTAGGAATACCTTCAATGTAGAATGTGTCTTTTATTACTTTATTCAGAAGCAAAGATGAACAGTTTTTGATGTCCCCTGATGAGACGATCCTGGCTTTTGCTGAGGTCCAAGGGGCGCAGGAAGCTCTGCTTGGTAGCACCATCATGAACAACATTGTGATCTGGTAAGCCTTCCTTACACATGTATGAGAATATGCTTCTTTTTTGAGAGTTGTGAAGGCTAGATAAGAGACTGTTTTAACAGGTGTGGGCAGGGCATGGTAGTCTATACCCAGAATCACAGAACATGTTGGATACGTAGAGAGACGCTGTCTGAAAGGTGGGGGGGGGGGGGGGGGAATAGACTGTGTAAATGATTGTCATAATTTTTTTTTTCACTGTCAGATACTTTGTTCTTGTCTTACTAACAAAATCATGCTAATCCAGATAATAAGTGAAGATCAATCTGAGTAGACTATTTTTAAGATATAGGATCACTTGCCTGACAGTGTACGTGGCCTTGGGTTCAGTTCCCACTACTAAAAAATAATTAATAAAATTAAAGAGAACATTTTGGTCAAAAATGTACAGCTGCTGCTGGAGATATAGCTCAGTGGTAAAATATTTGTATAGTGTGTACAGTTGTTAGCTTATGTCTGTAGGTTCTGTCAGATTAACTCTCCTACCTTAAATAACTACAAACAGGACAGAATATAACGATCTGAAAGTACCAGAGAAAAAGAAGATATATAGAGATTTCCCCCTAGAGGGAAAATTGAGCAAATTCTCATTCTTGCAGCTTTAAGCCAGAGTAGAGGGCCCCATTTCAACCACTGGGTAACTAGGAGCTTGATGGTGGACCTTCTGCCCTATTGGCTTACAGAGCCAGAAGATAGAGTTCAGGGTGACCCCAGCAGTGAAAAATATTTCAAAAGAAATTGACAAAGGAGGGAGCCGGAGAGATGGCTCAGCAGTTAAGTGCACTGACTACTCTTGCAAAGGAACGAGGTTCTATTCCCAGCACCCACATGATGGCTAACAACCATCCGTAATTCCAGTTTCAGGAGATCCAGCACCTTCTTCTGACCTCCATGGGCACTGCATGACACAGGCGCACTTACACACTCATACACCTAAAATAAAAATAATAAAATGTTTTTTTTTTTTAAAAAAAAGAAATTGACAAAAGAGTCCTAGGGGCTGGGGTTATTATTCAGTTGGTAAAATGCCTCACAAGCTAGAAGACCTGAATTTAATTCCCAGAACGCTTATAAAAAAGCTAGACATGGTGGCAATGCACATGTAATCCCAGTGCTGGGGAGAGTCCAGAAGGTCTCAGTAGCTCATTGCCAGCCAGCATAGCCTATTTGGCAGTCCAGGCGCGCAAGAGAGAGAGAGGAAGAGGGAGAGGAAGACAGAGACAAGACAGAGACAGGGACAGGGACACCTTGTTACATAAAACAAGGTGAGGCTGGTGATGTGTTGGTAGAGTGCTTGCCTGCAGGAAGCCCCAGGTTTGATGCCTAGCACTATGTAAATTAAGCCTTATGGTATATAGAGGTAGAGGCAGGAAGATCAGCACTAGAGAGGTGGAGGCAGGAAGATCAGGAGTTCAGGGTCATAGCTAGCTTTGACTACATGAAATGCTGTCTCAAAAAGAAAAAAAGATGAAGGTAGGTAGGGTGCAGGAGGTCATAAAATGATTTCTTTAACCCATAAAGTTTTCACGAACCCTGATGAACAACCTGGTTCCTCAGAACCTGCAAAAAGGTGGAAAGAGAAAACTGACTCCACAAAATTGTCTTCTGGCCTTTACATGTATGTAGTGGCATGTGCATGCCCATACATGCACATTATATACATGTGCATGGCACACACATACAGAGACACATACAAAGAAGGAAATTTAAGTTCTGAATATAATAATATAATTGTTACTTAATTATCTGGCATATATATTCATTTACTTTTGTTTTTTTTTTTTGAACACACGTCTCACTGTGTAGCCTAGGCTGCCCTAGGCTACTCACAGTTCTACCTTAGTGCCTAAATGGTGGCAGTCCAGGTGTGTATTACCATGCCTGGCTCTAGCTAGCCCTTTAACTACATTTTACAAGGTAGACTCCATGCAGCCCCTGTAAGGCTTAAAGAATTGAACAAGAAGCCAGGCAGGTAGCACACGCCTTTTATCCCCAGCACTTGAGAGGCAGAGGCAGGTGGATCTCTGTGAGTTTGAGGCCAGCCTGGTCTACCTGGTGAATTTCAGGAAGGCGGGGCTACACAGAGACCTTGTCTCAAAAAAGACAAAAATAAATAAATAAATAAATAAATAAATAAATAAATAAATAAATAAGCAGGGCATGGTGGCACATGCTTTTATTCCCAGCACTTGGGAGGCAGAGGCAGGCGAATCTCTGAGTTTAAGGCCAGCCTGGTCTACATAGATAAGGTGTTCCAGGCCAGCTGGGGTTTTAGGGAGACCTTGTCTCAAAAACAGACCAAACAGAAAAAAGAAAAGAATTGAACAAGAATTTCAGCAGTTGGGGCTAGAAAGATAACTCAGCCTTTCCACATGGTGGCTAACAGCCATTTGTAAGTACAGTTCCAGGGGCTCCGAGGTTCCCCTCTGGCCTCTGCAGGCGTTATACAACGTAATTGTACTTACATACATGAAGGCAGAACACTCATGCATGTAAAGTTAATTAAAGATTAAGAAAAAAAAAAGAATTTCAGCATTTGGAGTTTGAATTCAGCCAATTTAACCATTTACTAGAACAAATAATAAGGTCAGTATTCTTCAGAGGAACCTGACAGAATCCAGAGCTTTAATACCATAATCATTGTATCTAAGATACAATCAAAATGTATTACACATACAGAGTCTATGACATGATTATAAGAACCAAATTAACATTCCCTAGCTAACTCCTCACCCCCACCCCTTATTAGTAGCTGGAGGAGAAGTGTTTTGGTTGGGTTTTTTTTTTTTTTAAACACTCTCACTGTGTAGCCCAGGCTGGCTTCTAACTCACATCCCTCTTACCTCAACCACCTCCTGAGTGCTAGGGTTATAGATATGCACCACCTTGTGGAGGTCAAAGGACAAAGTTTTGAAAAGTCAGTTCTCTGTCTACTTTATTTTTTGAGACAGTGTTTCTTTCTCTCTTTTTCTTTCCTTTTTTTTTTTTTCCTGAGACAGGGTCCTACTCTATAGCCCTGACTGGCCTGGAACTTGATGTGTAGACCAGGCAGACCACAACCTCACAGAGATCCATCAGCCTCTGCCTCCCAAGTGCTTGACTGAAAGGTTTCAGAGTTTCTCTTGTCTTTGTTGCTGTAGTTAGTACTCCAGGCTAGCTGAACACCATTGTATCTGGCTTTTTTTTCAATTTTTTATTGAGCTTTTGTACATTTCATACAGCAGTTCTTGATCAAATTTAGACCCCTCTTCCAGTATCTGGCTTTTTATATGGTTTTGGTGTTTGAACTCAGGTCTTCAGTCTTGTGCAGCAAGCACTTTAACTTGCTGAAGGTCTGAGTCTTTCATCTTGATTAAGCTATTTTCATTTGAGTACTATCTTTCAAACATTAGTAATTTTTGCAGCTGGAGCAATGGCTCAGCAATTTAGAGCACTGGCTGCTCTTGCAGAAGACCAGGGTTTGAATCCCAGCCCTCACATGGCAGCTAACAGCTGTCCATTAACTCTAGTTCCAGGGGATCTGATGCCCTCTTCTATCCTCTACAGGCACTGCATGACATAGGTGCACATACATACATGAAGGCATAACATTCATACACATAATAAATTAAAAAAGATAAAAGCCAGGTGTTGTGGTATATGCCTTTAATCCCAGCACTCCAACACTCAGGTGGCAGATGCAGGTATATCTCTGTGAGTTCAAGGCCAGCATGGTCTACATAGTTCCAGGCCAGCTGGGGCTACAGGGAGACCCTGTCTCAAAAAGACAATAAATAAAGGCCAGGTATGGTGGTACACATATTTAATCCGAGCACTTGTGAGGCAGAGGCAGGTGGATCTCTATGAGTTAGAGGCCAGCCTGATCTACATAGCAAGTTCCAGGTCAGCTGGGGCTACAGGGAGACCCTGTCTCAATAAGACACCCCCCCAAATTAATTAAATAATAAAAATAAAATCAAAAAGATAATTGTGTTCAAATCTCTATGAAAGATGCAGCGATGAATCAGATATGAATCTTTGTCCCAAAGTCCCTAAAATCTAACAGCAAATAAAATTTCACAATTCACTATGTACTGTTCCAATACAATTCCTTTACAGTTCACATAGGGTCAAAATGATAGCAGTTCAGAGAAAATGCTTTGGATTTGGGGGGAAAATGCTTTATTAAAGTGTAAAGCACCTATTAACTTCCCTAGGTGATAAACTATTCTGGTATTTCTGATAGAAAAAAATCTTGCATGTGAAAATTTAATGTTATTTTTTCATGGATTTTTTTTTTGTTTTATTTTATGCATGTGAGTGTTATGCCTGCATATGTATAAGTGCACCCTTATTGTGCAGTGCCCAAGGAGGACAGAAGAGGGCATCAGATCCCCTGGAACTGGAGTTATGAATGATTGTTAGCCCCCATGTGGGTACTAATATTTGAACCCGGTCTTTGGCAAGAACAGCCAGTGCTCTTAACCACTGAGCCATCTCTCCAGCCCCTATTTTTTCATGTTTTTATATGCAGTTCCTTGCCTCAAAGAAAATTCTGCATTTGTTGACTGTTGTAGCATATAAAATGAGACATATGGGCAGTCCTATAGGTAGTCAGAAGAGCGGGATGACAGTGACTGGGGTGTAGATAGGGAGAAGAGTCTAAATTGAGTTCCCATCACTTGGAGGACATGGGACATAATCTAGGCCTTAAGGGATTAATGTATGAATTGCTCAGTAATGGGGCAGGCATTGGAAGAATAGCCTAAGCAAAGGTGTAGCACCAGGGAGGTACACAGTATGCCCTAAAAGTACTAAGGTTTCAGGAGAGGGAACAGTTGGTAATAATGAACCTTTATGAATCAAGGGTTATAAATGTCACCCAAAGGACTCTTGGCTAATGAAAAGCCAAAGAAAAGTTTTCTATCAGTACAGTGAGTGATGCAGCCTCAGCACAGCTGAGGAGTAGTTCCAACACTCTTCTTCCTTGTATTTACCCTCTTTCCTTTTTCCTTTTTTTTTAAACCCCACTTGAATCTTCTTGCTCTTGCCATTACTTTGGCCTAGTTCTAATATGAACACATAAAATAGAAACATAACTACAAATTTGTTTTAGGTGTAATGTCTCACCCAACCAAGTTTGGGTGTCTGGTCATTCTCTCCAATGGGAAATGTAAGTATAATGAAGTCCCAGGCTGGAGCGATGGCTCAGCAGGAGAGCACTGGCTGCTCTTGTAGAGGACCCAGTTCTCAGCACCCATATCAGACAGCCCACAACCTCCTGTAATTCCAGTTGCAGGAGATCCAATGCCCTCTTCTAATTTCTGCTGGCACACAGGTGATGTACATACAGACAATTAGGCACACACATATAAATAAATAAAATATTTAAAGGGTCTCATAATAATAAGTGCTATAACTTTGAGCTGACTTCAATTCAACGTAAAATGAGATCATGGAAAACTCATGGAATTTAGAAAGATTTATCCATAGTGACATAGCAGATTCAGCCTAAAACTAAACTGTCTCATTATTGATAGTTAGCCTCTTACTGCACTTTTAGTGAAAGTATATAAAGTATGAAGAAACAAAAGCTCTTCCCTAGTGTTTTCTCTTTATTACCTCCAAAAGATGCTGTGATGAGTAAAGAACATGGTGTGTGAGCAAGGCATGGTAGTACATACCTGTAACACCATTACCTAGGATGCTGAGAGAGGAGGAACACACATTTGAGGCTAGCCTGGGCTACATAGTAAGGCACTTTGCAAAAAAAGGTATGCTATGTGAAAAACAATTTTACTGGAAAATGTGATCAGCTTATTTGTTTTTGGTGCCTAAGGAATTCTAAAACTGGCCAGCTTCTGAAAAAGATGCATATTGATGATTGTTACCAAGCTTCAGTCTGTCACAGAGCCTATTCTGAAATGGTGAGTGATGATCTGGGACTACTTTGTGTTTATTAGTCTCTCCAGTGAGTCATAACAGCAGTCAGTGTGCCCTCCTTGTTGTCCTTTCTTTCCCAATTGGATAGCAGTGTGGTTTTGGTTTTGTGTTGCTTATTTTGTTTGTTTTGAGACAAGGTCTCATGTGGCCCAAGCTGGCCTAGAACTCCCTGTGTATGAGAGTAAGATGACTTTGAACTCCTGATCCCCTGCTTCCACCTTCCTAGTGCCTGGTGTTAGAGGCACTCTAGTGACTCTGCCACATTCCCAGCTCTGTTTCTTCTTTTCTGAAGTTTATGACTGAAAATAAATGTTGGTACAATGTGATTGTTTAAATTTTCTGCCTGCATGACTTAAAGGCAAACATTCCCAGCTATTAATTTTGTACCAAAAATACTATCAGGCTTGTTAGCAGATTTGACTCCTAACTACCTTTTTGTTTTATTTTGAGGCAGGGTCTCCCTGTCCGTCTCAAAAAATCAGAGGTAAGGGGATCAAAAAAGCAAAAGCACTATATAGCACTGGTTGATCTAGAACTTGAGTAGACCAGGCTGGCTGCAAATGTGCTATGTTCCTCTTGCTCAGCCTCTTAAATGCTGGAATTAAAGGCAGGCCTCACCATATCCACCTCCAACCAGTTTTGCCATAAGTGAATTATGATGTGAAATAGGAAATGTGCACATTTTTTCTTTGGCTTTGATGTTCTTACATAGAAACAGAAATAAAATTACTTAGCCACTGTGTTGGTATACATAGCTGACAGTATAGTTTGGACATCTGAGCAGGGTGAAGGTAGCTAGCTGTTCAGGTAAGAGGAGTGACCTCATGACTGACCACTGTTGAAGGATGAGCTGGAACACTAGCAGCAGGCCCAGCTCTTGGGTAGATTGCCTCACCTAGCTAGCTAGCATCAGTGGTACCAAGAATTAGCACCTAGAGGTTCTTAATGCAAAGGATGCATCTTTCCCTGGCCTAATGGGGGATCTGTGGAGTTAAATGAGTTATGTGATCTTAGTAAGTCTGCCACAAAATCTTGAGCCTAGCATCTTTAATTCTTTAAATATGAAGGTTGAATTTGTTTCTAAAATTTACTATATACTCAAATATTTTGTATACAGCATTAATACTTGATACTAAAACATTTAACACAGAAATAGGTAGATAGCCAGGTATTGTGATGCATACCCATAATCTGAGCACTTGGGAGGTAGAAGCAGGAGACCAGCTTGGGCTACATGAGATCTTGTCGAACCCAAAAAAGAAAAATAGGTTAATCCCTTAAATAACTTAATTTGATTTGCTTCCTGGGTATTGACTCTTGTACCTTCACATATTTGGCGAGTACTTGACCACTGAGCCACAATTCTAGAAATGCATATAATAGGAATGAGTACTATTAATGAGTGGTCCCACTTTTCTCTGTCTTACTCTGAAAGGGAACAGCTTTTGAGGTATAATGTCCATTGTATATGCATGTGTGCAAACACAAGCACACAGAGCAGTACTTAGACCCTGTCATTTGGAAACGGGGAAATCTTAAACAGATTTCTCCCACAACCACAGGTGATGCTTGCTTTTTCATCACCAATATCTGGGTTTTAAAAGAGACGTATTGTAGGTGGCCTAAGAATCCATTGTCCTCTACAAAGATTGTTTTATGGGAAAATGTGTTCTGAAATTTCAGTTTACAAATGAGTATTTCGAATTTGAGGACTCCCTGTCCATGTCTGTGTAACTTCCTTCCCTGCTCCATCCTTTTCTTGAATGGATGGCAGGCAATGTAGCATCTGAAGTATAGGAAATGGATGGGTGGGCTAGACTTGTGCTCTGTAGGACTGGCTGAAAGCATAGCCCTGCAGGCAGTGTGCACACAACTTGAGTTTCTATCTGAGCAACGTGAAGGCAAGCCTGCATATTGAGGAGCCTGCTCATTGTCCTTTCACTCTTGGTTTTGTCTCTGCCAGACGTACTCTTGATGGTCTAATTGGTTTTTTCCTAATTAGGGACTCCTGTTTGTTGTTCTGAGTCATTCTTGTGTGAAAGAGAGCCAGTCATTTGGAAACCCTGTGTTTCAGCTATTGGTGATTAACCCTAAGACAACTCTGAGTCTGGATGTGTTGCTGTACTCTCTTCCTCAAGGGCAGGCTGGAAGGTAAGTATGTGTACCTGCTATTCAAGGGGTATGGGTATGGTACTCTGGTGCATATTGTGGAAATACAAAAGCTAGGTTTTGTTTTTTGGGGTTTTTTGTTGTTGTTGGTTTTTTTTTTTTTTTTTTTGGTCTTTTTGAGACAGGGTCTCCCTGTAGCCCCAGCTGGCCTGGATTCACTGTGGAGACCAGGCTGGCCTCAAACTCACAGAGATCCGCCTGCCTCTGCCTCCCAAGTGCTGGGATTAAAGGCATGCGCCACCACGCCCTGCCAAAAGCTAGGTATTTTTATATTACTAGAATAAATGGAACAGGTGAGATCCTATAGCTCATAGCAAAGCTGGAGGTGTAGCTCAATGGTAGAGTGCTTGCCTGGTGTGCATGAGAATTCAAAGTTCTTACTACTAGGCCAGTGAGATGACTCAGTGATTAAAAGTGCTTGTTGCGCCGGGTGTGGCGAGGCAGGCCTTTAATACCAGCGCTTGGGAGGCAGAGGCAAGCGGATCTCTGTGAGTTCAAGGCCAGCCTGGTCTACATAGCATGTTCAGGCCAGCTGGGTCTACAAGGAGACCCTGTCTGAAAAAAAAACTGTTTGCTGCACAAGCCTGATGATCTGAATTCAGGCCCTGGAACCCATGGCGGAAGGAGAGAACCAACTTCTGAAAGTTGTCCTCTGACCTCCATATGTGTGCCATGGCACACATGCATCTGTACTCACAGGCACACATTACACACACATATACAAAATAATAATTAATTTTTTTATGAATATGCCAGGTGTGGTGGCGCACACCTTTAATCCCAGCACTCAGGAGGCAGAGGCAGGCAGATCTCTGTGAGTTCAAGGCTATATCCGAGAGCTGGAGGGTGGAGAGGGGTACTGTGGAGCACCATTTGATATATATAATTTATTTTATGTGTATGAGTGTGTTGCTGCATATGTGTAAGTGCATCCATGTTGTGCAAAGCCTGCAGAGGTCAGAAGAGGGTGTGTGATCCCCTGGAACTGGAGTTACAGTTATTAGCAGCCATGTGGGTGCTGGAAATGGAACCCGGGTCCTCTGCAAGAGCAGCCAGTGCTTCTCACTGCTGAGCATCTCTCCAGCCTTCAAAGAGACCCTGCTGCTTCTGCCTCCCTAATGCTGGGATTAAAGTTAGCATGCACTACCACACCCAGCTCTTTTGTCACATTTTAAACCTAAAGCCTTGAAAGTCTGTTGCCGGTCTTATGGGAAGTATCTCTTAGCCCATCTGGACTAATGTATACTAAAGATTTGGTAGCTTATAAAATAAGATGGCTCGGTGGGTAAAGGCTGTTGCCATCAAACCTGGTGTCTTAAGTCCCATCCCTGGGACCCACATGGTAGAAGGAGAAAGTTGACTCCTACAAGTTGTTCTCTACCCCCCCACAAACACAAATAAGTAAAATGTAATTTTAAAATGCTTTAAATCATGGATGTTTATTTCTTGAAGTTCCAGAGTCTGGGCAATCCAAAATGAAATGCTGGCAGAGTCACTGTTCCGTGGGGACATTCCATTGCTCCTTTTCCTTGCTGGCATTTTCTCACTGTATTTTCATTTGGCAGAAGGAATGCTGTAGTTTGCTGGGAATTCTTTGATAAGGGCACTAAGCTCTTCAGAAATGTAATTATCTCTTTTTTATTGTTTATGACAGGGTCTCCCTTGTAGCCCCAGATGACCTGGAAATCACTGTGTAGACCAGGCTGGTCTCAATCTCACAGAGATCTGCCTGCTTCTGCCTCCTGAGTGCTGGGACTAAAGGCGTGTGCCACCATACTTGGCCCATGTGCTGAGCTTTTTAAATGAGCTGTTTTCACAACACCTCTATGAAGTAGATGCTCTCACTGTCCCTATCTTACTGATGAGGTTAGTCTGCTCAGGGTTATGCAGCACTTAGTTGTATACAAGTTAGAATTCAGTCCCAAGAGCAGACTACAGAGCTCTTGTCCTTTTATTCCTTTGTTATTTTTATGTTTATTCTGTGGGTATGGGTGTGCTGCAGCACACATGTGGAGGTCAGAGGACAGCTCATGAGAGTCAGTTTTCTCTTTCCAGCAAGTGGGTTCTGAAGATGAAACACACTTATACACTTTTTTAACAAACATATACAGTAAGCAAGCAAAAAAACAAATGTAATTTTTAAAAAAAATTAATGATAGAGCCTGGCATATGCAGTGCCTTAGGTTCAGTCTCAGGACTACAAAAAAAAAGGCAACCAGATTTCTGCCTCATGACTTTGGAGGAGATATGTATGCCAAATATGGAAATAAGTGCATATAGGTCAAAGTGCTGTGAAGATAAAAACAGGTAATATATCCAAGAGGGGACAGAGTGTGTGTATGTATGTATGCCTGTGTGTATACCACTTAACATGATTCACTGGGTATGGACTTAATATGGTAGTGACAGGCCTGATAAGTTCTCAGCCATGCTATGATGTGGGGCTAGAGCTTTCCAGAGAGAGAGAGAAAAAAAGTCACTCAGGTGAGACTGAGTTTGACTAGTGTGAAGAAAGGTAGGAGGATACTGAGCTAGTGAAAAGGGGTACAAGATGATACAAAGAACAGGCAGCAACTGGGTACGTGGTTATGTGCCAATGCCAGAGGTCCTCTAGGCTTGGCTTTTGGTGCTCATAGTGGCAACAGTTTGGATCTGGCAGATTCGTGGGAACATGGTATTTTAAGCTTTTTTTGAGAGATGTGGGGGATGATAGAATCACTGTGTAGCCCTGGCTGGCCTCAAACACTGACAGATCTGCCTTCCTCTGCTTCTTGAGTGTCGGAAGTAAAGGCATGTGTCACCACACCCAGCATTTTATTTTGTTGAGGGGTGAGGCCCATGCCATGGCATGAGTGCAGTTAGTTCTCTGTCATATGGGTCCCAAGGGATCAAATACAGGTCTTTTGGCTTGGCAGCATGCAGCAAGTGTCTTTGCCCGAATACCCAGCTCTGGGCCCTTTTTTAAAGTTTTTTTGACCCTTGATCTGAATTGTTTCTTCTCTACTCAGGTTCCTGGATGGGGATGTGAAAGATCACGTTGCAGCAGCAGTCCTGACTTCAGGGACAATTGCCATTTGGGACCTGCTTCTGGGTCACTGCACTGCTCTCCTCCCACCTGTCTCTGAGCAAAATTGGTCTTTGGTTAAATGGTCAGGTACAGATTCTCACTTGCTGGCTGGACAGAAAGATGGAAATATATTCATATACCGCTACTTATGAGGAAAACACTTTTTTCTGGGTATTTTGCCTCTTAATTTTTTTTAAATAGTAAAATATCTGGAATGCATTTAATATAATTACTTAAATGCATCCTGACAAACATACTTTTTATTCTGATGGTGGTGGCACAACTGATGGTGAATATTTGTTTATACTCACTTTGGAGTTAGGTTTTAGGTTAATTTTTGTAATTCCCCAGATTTGTACATTTGCTATTAAAGATGTATATAACCTATAAATGTTAATAAATATTTATTTTGGCACATTCTGCTTGGCATATTCTGTTTTTATAGTCTATTCAGGTCATTTTTAAAAATAAAAATTGCTTATTATTATTGCTTGGGATATAGCTCCATCAGGAAAGAACTTGCTGTGCAAGCCACGGACCTTAGTTAAAGTCCCAGGAAAAAAAAACTGGGCATGGACAGCCAGGCGTGGTCACACACGCCTTTAATCCCAACATTCGGAAGTGACAGACAGTTGGATCTCTACAACTTTGAGGCTGGCTCAGTCTACATAGCGAGTTCCAGGCCAGCCAGAGCTATATAGTTGAGACTCTGTCTAAACAAAAACAAAACAAAAAATTGGGCCTGGTGGTACACACCTGTAATCCCAGCACTGGGAGGACAGAAATAGGTGGATCCCTGCGACGCACTAGGCAGCCTACCTAACCTAATTGGCAAGTTACAGGCCAGTGAGAAACCCTGTCTCAAAAAAAGTGGTTGTCCTCCTTTGGCCTCATATGCATTCACATACACACACAGAATTATTTGTTATACAACTAGAATATTTAGTCAATGTTTACAGAATAAGAATAAACATCATTAATATGCAATATACTTATTTAAATTATATATATATATATATTTTGGGGGGGGGTCTTTTTGAGACAGGGTCTCCCTGTAGCCCCAGCTGTCCTGGAACTCACTATGTAAACCAGGCTGGCCTTGAACTCACAGAGATCCGCCTGCCTCTGCCTCCTGAGTGCTGGGATTAAAGGCATGTGCCACTACGCCCGGCTGTTAAAAATATTTTTTATCCTTTGAGAATTTAATACATACAATGTATTTTGGTCACATCCACCCCACCCCCTTTCCCCTTGTTTGTTTTTAATTTTTTATTTCAGTATGTGTGTGTGTGTATACACACATGCACAAGTGCACTATGGTGTGCATGTGAAATCAGAGGACAACTTGGTGCTTTCATTGCATCATGTGGGACCTGGAAATTGAACTCAGGTCATCAGGCTTGACAGCAAGCACCTTTCCTCTCTGAGTCATCTCACCGGCTCTGTTTATTTTTTGAAACAATCTCACTACATAGCCCAGACTGGCCTTAAATTCATGTTCTCTTGTCTCAGACTCCCAAGTGCTAAAATCACGGGTATGCACTACCATGCCCACAATATATATATATATATATATAGTTTTGGTTTTTGAGACAGGATCTCCCTGTAGCCCCAGCTGGCCTGGAACTTTACCAGGCTACTGGTTGGTTTCAATCTCTCAGAAATCGGCCTGCCTCTGCCTCCTGGGGGCTGGTATTAAAGCTTTGCCCCACCAAGCCCAGCTTTTTTTTTTTTCCAGACAAGGTCTCACTGTTTAGCCCTGGTTGGCCTGGAATTCACTATGTAGAAAAGGCTGGCCTTGAACTCACGGAGATCCACCTGCCTTTGCCTCCTGAATGCTAGGTAGTAGTTCCAGTTCAAAAGCACAAGACCATCCTCATCCTACACAGAGTGTCTGAGGTTAGCCTAGGACTCTAGGCTCCATGACAGCCTATTACAAAAAAAAAAAAAAAATGGGGTGACAATGGTAATGATGAGACACTGATACTTAAGGATGCACTTGAGAATGGAGAAGCAAGAGTAAATTAGGATTGCTAAAAATGCTTTTGTAGCATTTTTAATAAATATATGAGAGTAAGGTCCTGCCTCTTGAGTGTATGGTGATGCCTACCCATGATCCCAGCACTCAGGAAGTGAAGGCAGGAAGATCAGTTCAATCATCCTCAGCTACATACCAAGTTTGAGGCAAGTCTGGGATACATAAGAGCTTGTCAGAAAAAGAAAAAGGGAGGAGGGGGGAGAAACTTCAGTGGAGGGAGTAGGAATTCCAGTTCAGTAACGACTGAACACGTACTTGACATGAGGTATAAAATGATTGTTAGGCTTCTAACCTGGAGAGGTATCCAGTCTGGGAAGAGACATAAAGCAGTAAGTACCTTGTGTATTTAAGGGGTTAGTTTCGGTGCCGCTCTGGAAACTCAAAAGCTGTGCAGTTAGCACAACCATGGAATGCTCTGTGGAGGTTGTCAGCTGAACTTCACAGGTGACGCAGAAGCAAAGCATTCCAGGCAGAAGGGACAGAATAGTGCCAGTTACAGATGACTCAGTATTAGGAAATGGAGCTGAGAATCAGTAAAGGTATCCAGGGGTCCTGTGCAGCTTGTGATGAGCCTGGCCTTTCCTCTGCGAGTGGGGAAAAGGCTGAACAGGAAGAAGATAAGGTCCTACTCTGGCTACAGAGAGTAATAGATCTGTGGAGGCCAAGAGTAGAGGCAAATAGGTGGTCTTGGGGGTCTGATCTGCAGCAGAGGCAGTGTTGAGTGAATAGTGGAGCTTGGGTAACTTAGGAGAAATGAGCAGGATATGCCTGATGAGGAAGGAAATGAAGGAGTCCTAAAATTCTGGCTTAATAAGTGATGATATCAGCAATTGAAATAGAGAAACAGAAAAGAATTTGAGTCTCTGATGACCTGTTTTTCTTCAGCCACCTGCTGACCTCTATGCCTAACTCAAAAGGCATAACTTTCTTCCTCTTCTCCATTTCCCTCCTGCTGCTGTCAGAATTTACATCTTGTCTGCCCTGTTTTTTTCTCAAACTGTAATAAAACAGTCCTTGGACTTAAAAAAAAAAAAAGGCCGGGCGTGATGGCACAAGCCTTTAATCCCAGCACTTGGGAGGCAGAGGCAGGCGGATCTCTGAGTTTGAGGCCAGCCTGGTCTCCATAGCGAATCCAGGCCAGCTAGGGCTACAGGGAGACCTTGTCTCAAAAAGACCAAAAAAAAAGAAAAAAAAAAACATGTCTGTTGTCATGCAAATAGTTTTTTGTTTTTCATTGAAGATGGTTATTAAATCATCTGGATCTTAAGTATTAGATAATTTAACAAAAACTGGGAGTTGGGTGAGGAGCTGAGGATGGAAGAACGAAGTAAAAGCAATGCTACAGGGTTTCCTGGACCTCACACCACATGGCCTGACTCCTCTACCCTGCCTTTTCACAAATGATCATCTCAACTTCTTACAGGAAAGGACAGGGTCAATTAAAGTGTGGTCTAAGGGCTTCCCAATACTCTGCCAAAGAAGTTCCTTGATTGGAAAAAAATGTTTAAGGTTCATAATCCTTAAATGAGACCAGTGAGAAGAGCTCTCTCATAGTGAACATAGTAGACAACATACATTAACCATGTACTGAATGAGTTCCAAAATTATTAGTCTAGTTGCTAAATTAGGGTGGAAGCAAACCTCTTTGAAAAATAGTCTAAAGATTGAGGTGAATGTTTAAACTCTTGATCAATCCTTGGGGAACACTGCCTTGATGAACACAGCACAGACTCCTGCCAAGAAGGGTTCCTGGAACCTAAGAACGGTGCTACTTGACTTCAAGTTTTAGGACCTGTAACAGCTTGAGCTCTTGGAGCTGACAATGCAACCTATCAAACCTCAGCTTTCAAAGTGTTGATCAAACTCTTTACGCCTAGTAGCTGTTTAACCAAACAATGGCTATTATCTGCAAAGCCAGAGTAAGTACAGCCAGGACATAAAATACTGCAGAAAAATGTATTGCCTGCAATAGGCAAGGAGAGCAAGGGAATATTTCCAAAAGAAGTTTTTCATTAAACACAGGTAGCAAGGTATTACATACAGTGAGCCTGTACATATTCCCACAGGGGCTGGCCCATTCTGAACCATGCAGGAGTACACTTCCTGAGCATACTCAGTTTAAGGTCATTATTTAAGAAGTAAAGGTGCTAGGCAGGTTTTTTTTGACAGGCTTAGCCTGGTCATGGAGCACGTTTGTAACATTAAAGCGATGGCCAGGAATGCCTCTGGACATGCTCAGCTTGAACCATGATGTTTTAGAAGAAAAGACGTTTTGAAGGTACATTAATGCAGGGATTTGCCCCCAAAGTGGTTGCTCTGCTTAGTGGTTAGGAGGTGTGGGCTTCTCCAGAGAGCCACTACTTGTCCATTTTTGTTAGCTATATTATCTAGATCTTGTAAAGTTTTATGTTTTTGTAGTGTTGGGAGCATACTGGGCAAAGTTCTCTACCACCTACATATTGTCAAATTTAAAAATATATTGGTTTATGATGCTTCCACATTTAGTAATCTTCATTTCACACATAAACACACAGGCATATATGCTTGTTCTTGTTTTTGAGAAACAAGACTGTGTAGTCTAGGCTAACCTCCTAAGATCCTTCTGCCTCAGCCTCTGGAATAGCTAGGTTCACAGGCTCAGGCAACCACACCTGGCTACTATTAAATCTATTCTTTTTCACATTCATATTTTGTACTGAGTTTTCAGGCTATTAAAAAATACTGCTGGGGCCGGGTGCGGTGGTGCACACCTTTAATTGCAGCACTCAGGAGGCAGAGGCAGTCAGATCTCTGTGAGTTTACGGCCAGCCTGGTTTACATAAGGAGTTCCAGGCCAGCTGGGGCTACAGGGAGACCCTGTCTCAAAAAAACAAAAAAAAAAAAACGTCCTAATGCTATAGAAGAATCTAGAATCTAGTTAATTGTTTTTGAGACAGGTTCTCACTATGTACCCCCAACTGGCCTGAAACTCACCTCTCAAGCTCTAAGATTAATGGTGTGCACCTCCATGCCCGGCCAATTATTTTTTAATTTTTATTTTATGTGTATCAATGTTTTGCCTATATGTATGTAAGCGCACTACGTTGAGAAACCAGAAGAGGCTACGGGTTCCCCAGGAACTGGAATTAGAGCCGTGTGCTGAGACCTGAACTGGGTCCTCCGCAAGAGCAGCCAGTGCTCTTAACGGCTGAATAATCTCCCGCTTCCTTCTCCCTGTCAATTTTTTAAAAAAGATATATTTCAGAACTCTCAGAGAAGAAATAGCTGTCAGTTCCTTCCTCAAATCAGTGTTAGGGATAGGTGGCATTTGTGCTGTTGGACCACCGCAGCCCTTCCAGCACAAACCGAGGTGGCTGCAGTGCCACCGGGAGCTGCCACAGGCCGCCAACGCCCCGCCCTGCTCCGTACGTCCGCCGCGCGCAGAGCCGGTAGCAGCCCGGGGCGGGAGGCCGCGGCGCAGTGCATCCTGGGTCGGCGCAGCCATGGCGGCTCGTGTCCTTTCCGCTTCTGTCCGCCGCCTGCCCGCGGCCTTCGCTCCACTGCCCCAGCTTCCCACGCTCGCTCTGGCCCGGCCGCTCAGCACCGCTCTGTGCCCCTCGAGGACCCGGACGAGGCCTGGGGCTCCGCAGCGGGCCTCGGCGCTCGCGCAGGTGACTGGCGGTGACTTTGGCGGGGTGGTCGGGTCAGGGCCGGTGGGGGGAGGGGCCGCAGCCGGCTGCACAGCTGCAGGGGTGACCCGGGGTGCACGGCTCCCCGCACAGCCCTGCTGCCTAACAGGTTCCTTTGACCCTGTCGCGAGTGACCCTTATTAGAGCAAGAGTCCAGGACGTCGGCCAGCCCTCCACCCAGCAGCTCCCACCTGCAGAGTGCAAGGAGGGGAGGGGAGAGCACCTGGTGCGGTCGCCATTAGTTGCAGGGTGGTAATTACTCCGGCCACTTTCTAGGGAAGGCTAAGGACAAGATGCACAGAGGGAAGCCACTTACCTACCCAGTCTTCTCCATAGTACGCCTTTGACTAGATTTCTGTCTTCGTTTTTTTCTCTTGTGGCACCTTTTGCCTGTTTCTGGGCCTTCTGAAAGTAAGGACTGGAACAAGTGTAGCGTGCATATCTGATGAAGCCATTGTGGCCTGGAAGTCCGTGAGGGCGTGATTTTTAACCCCAGCTATGCATGGGTAGCACTGAAACAACAAACCACCTAACCCTCTTCCCACTTTCCTTGAGTTACTCTTCTGGGATCAGGCCCTGGCATGGCTTTTTAAGTTCTCTCATGTGACTCTTGACGTGCGTCCAAGATCAGGACTGTAGGGTAGACGCTAAGGGCCAAGTTGAGAACCCCTTTTCATGCTCATAAGCTTCCTGTAATGGTGGTTTTGGTCACACCTCCATGCTACAATAAGAAATGAGGATGTGCAGCCAGTGTTGAGGTTCACAGAGAGTGAAATGGATTAATAGGGCATTGTCCCATTGGCTAAATCAAAGGTTAATATGTCACTATAAAGTTAGGTGTTTAAAGGGCAGTAAAGTTGTTGCATCTTTGGGTTTAGAGACTAATTTCAGTATTAGGCCAAACTGTTGTGAAGTGGTGTCCTGTTCATAGAACATAGATTCTCAAACCTAGTTGTGCATCCAGATCATCAGGGTAGAATACAGACTCTGATTGAATAGGTCTGGAAAGTTTTCATTTCTGGTACGCATTACAGTTCTAGCTGTTGGTGGTCCTTGGACCATCCTTTGACTAGCGTTGTGCTTGAAGATGTTCCAGTACCTCTGTCTGGTCTACGCAGACAGCAGAGGAACCATTTCATTTATGAGTACAAAGTGGTTTTGACTAAGTCCATTCATAGATGCAGATGGTTGTACAGTAGGTCTTGGGCTGGTTGTTGAGGAATATGGATGTTCTTTGCTCAAGTTAGAGGAAACAAACAGTAAGCAAGGTGTAGAAAAAATAAAAGACACCTTTCCTCCCAATCATTCAAGTTGACTGAATAAAAGTGAGAAGTGGAGAGTATGGCTGGCTCTGAAGTTTCTGTCTAGAGCCCCAGAAGGTGGCGAAGGAGTTTTCAAGAGGTGTGGGGTTTGTTTCAAACAGCTGAGTTTGGGTGTCTGGGCTCCTGAGAGGTGGTTATTTAAAGGTAGCCTTTAAAGCCCTTTCCTTAAACAGAGGAGGACCCCAGTGGAACAAGATAGATTCTAATGGAAGCTCATCAGTTTGAGTTAGTAGGCCAGGAAAGTCATTCAAACAGTGCCACCTTTGTTGTCTAGAGATGATTAGTGTCATGTGTAATTACTGTGACTTTTGAAGAACACCACCACCACAGACAACCCATGTTGGCTATAGAGAGGCTGGTTGTTCTGTATCTCCTTTTCTAACAGCTGAGATCTGGCCAGAAGATGCAGTTGAGACCCTCCAAGAGGTCATGCAGAAAGTGTTCTCGGTTCCTTGTAAAGTGCTTAGGGTAGAACTATAGTCTGACTTAATAGTAAGAATCAAGGTCCTGGCTGGGCATGGTGGCTCACGACTTTAGTTCCAGTACTCCGGAGGCAGAGGCAGGCGGATCTCTGTGAGTTCGAAGCCACCCTGGTCTACATAGCTAGTTCCAGGTTAGCTGGGGCTATAGGGGGAGACCCTGTCTCAGAAACACTAAGATAAATAAATAAAATATAAGTAAAAATAAAGTAGGACAGAATGAGTAGAATATGTATTTTAGAGTTACACCACAGCTGGGGGGGATATCACATGGCAGGTTATCATCATGGCATTCCTAGATAACCCTCCACTGTATTTTACTGTCCAATGACAGGCAGTGTCCAATGCCTTTATTTTATCTTACTGTCTCAACAATCCTATGAACACAGTACTGTTTATCCATTTTTAATAGCTAAAGAGACTGACGCATAGACAGGTTAAATAATTCAGACATGGCCAGACAGCTAGAAAAAGCCAGTATGCAGACACGAGCATCAGAAGTCTGGTCCACTGTATTTTACTGTCCAATGACAGGCAGTGTCCAATGCCTTTATTTTATCTTACTGTCTCAACAATCCTATGAACACAGTACTGTTTATCCATTTTTAATAGCTAAAGAGACTGACGCATAGACAGGTTAAATAATTCAGACATGGCCAGACAGCTAGAAAAAGCCAGTATGCAGACACGAGCATCAGAAGTCTGGTTCTGGGTCACTACACCTTTTTGCCTTGCTGCAATGGAGCTGGAGAGCTCGCTCTTAATCTCATGGCACCCCCCCCCACCCTTATAGGCACTTTCCAGTGCTGCCTGGTGTGATACCTAGTGGGCCACGTGCGTAGCTGTGTAAAAACTTAACCTCCTCCAGTCCCTTTCTTTTCCCATGGGCCGGGGGCCCCCCCCCCCCCCCCTGCCTCATTCTTCATCTCTTCAGTGCTAATTCCACTTCACGCCAGCACTTAATGTTTTTGTCTTTGAGATAGGGTGTCACTTTATCTAAGGCTGGCTTTGGAACTCACTATGTAGCTATTCTTCTGCCTCAGCTTCCCAAGTATTAGAATGTCAGGCATGAACCACCATGTCTGGCTAAAATCTGCCACAGTCCGCTAATGTTTTTTTAATTTTGTTTTCCCCTGATACACACACAGGGAGCCTCTGTTAGATCCTCCCATTCAGACTTTTTCTGCCATTCTTCTTTCTCTATTCCTTTCTGCCTCGTTTCATCTGTGACTATTCAAGTCATTCCTGATAAATGGGTCTGGGGGTATGTCCCATATCAAAGGCCTCCTTGACACACACTACAACAGGAAAGGAAATGATGAGTTTTAAGTATGTGTATGGTGGGGGGTATGCAAACGTGTGCCTGGTGTGGGTGCTGGCAACCAAACTGTCCTTTGCAAGAGCAACAAGTGCTCTTAACTGCTGAGCCATCTCTCTAGCCCCTGCCCTGCCAGTCTTAAAATACTCAAACACTCCAGAATATCCCTAAAACTCTTCAGCTAATATCTTTAGCTTCCTGATTAAATAAGCTTGGTGCAAAATAAAGAGGTGTATTACTGGTTCAGTTCATTTTTGTTTTGAGGCAATCCCAGGCTGGACCATGACTCTTAGATTCTCTTGCCTCAACCTGACAAGTATTGAGATTATAGGCATGTACCACATACCAGCTCCCAATTCATTTATTTTATTTACTTTGAGACAAGGTCTCACTATGTAGCTCTGGCTGGTCTGAAACTTACTATGTAACCAGGTTGGCCTTAAACTCACAGAGAGAAAGCACACACATGCACATGTAGAGGTCAGAGGATAACTTTTAGGAGTCCTCCCCTTTCCCCATGTGGGTTCCAATGAACGAACTCAGGTCATCAGGCACCTTTACCCTCTGAGCCATCTCACTGCCCTCCTTTTTTTTTAGTGTTAGGGACTGAACCCAGGGTTTTATATGTGCTAGACAAATACTCTACCACTGGACCTATATTGCAGCCCTTCTCACTTTTTATTATGAGATGAGGGTCTCACTAGATTACCCAGCTTGGCCTTGAACTTTGACCCTCCTGCCTCACATTGTAAGTACCTGAAATTACAGGCCTGCCTCATCAGGCCTGCAGCAAACTCATTTTCTGTGAGGAAAGCCTTACGTACAAACTGAGAACTTAAAAATCAACATTGAAGACAAACCTGATACTTCCATAGTGATCCAACTACTATATTTTGTTTTTTTCTTGTTCTGTGCTGTATCTTCATCAGCATTAAACCTCCTGCCCAGAGGATTGGTGCTCCTCCACATTTGGTGTATGAAATCTGGTCAGGCTTCCAATACCCAATTGAGTAACAACAAGTTAACAATAGAGCTACATGAGGTGCCATGATACGTTAGCATGGCAAATCAAAAAGGCTCATAGTTTGACTGGTGGTTGTGGGACAAGCCTACCGTATGGGGCAGGGAAATAGATTTGGAATGAAATGTGTTTGCTGGAAAGCTCTCTGATGCTCTGCTTTGGGATGGTGACTGGCTTCATTTTTTCCAGTCAGCGTTTGGTTACCACTGAAGCCAGTTAGAACCCTCCTAGTTCAAAAGGCCTTTCTGTATCCCATGGCAGCTGCTGGGGAAGGTCATTTTGACTCCTAGCTGCCTGTTGAATACAGCAGTGCATTGGAGAGGCTGTAGCATGCTGAATTTGCCATGAGGGGACTTGGACATTTCTGCAGACCCTTCCTGATCTTAAGTGACAGTCTTACTGAAAAAGAAAAAGATAAATGTCCAAAGCCTAAAAGATACCCTCAAGGCAAAGATACCCTGGCTTTGAGGAGAAGAAAGGCCCATTTTGATACTAGAGTTTCTGAGATGTCCCAACCCTGTTCTCAGTGTGATTTCATGGCCACATTAGAATGAAATGCACAGAAAGCTTTGTGAAAGATACCTATAGATTGGCTGGTGAGGTGACTCAATGGGTAGAGGCCCCTGCCACAAAGCCTACTGACCTGACTTCAATCACTGGGAAGGTCCAGCCTCCCAGAAGAAAACTGACTCCCACGGCTCGTCCTCTGACCTTCACTCATGTGCCATCGCATCCCTCCCAATAAAAAATGAGTATGTAATTTTAAAGAAAGATATCTGTAGATGTGTGCATCTATTTAAAGGCAATTGGGGTTGAGTGACAATGTTTCCTTCCTGCCTTTGCTCTAGGTGCCAGGAAAGGTCACATATTTGTACCGCCAATATAGTGACGCTCCCCCTTTGACATTAGAGGGAATCAAGGACCGAGTTCTGTATGTGTTGAAACTCTATGACAAAATTGACCCAGAAAAGGTAAGTGACTTTAATTTTTTTTCTTTCTTTTTTTGGGGGGGGATCTTTTTGAAATAGGGTCTCCCTATAGCCCCAGCTGGCCTGAAACTTGCTTTGTAGACCAGGCTGGCCTTGACCTCACAGAGATCCGACTGCTTCTGCCTCCCCAGTGCTGGGACTGAAGGTGTGTGCCACCATGCCTGGACTAATTTTTTTCTTTGTATATTTAGTCACATGGTATAAAACTCAAAGGGTTCAAAAGGATGTTAAAAGTCTCCCTAGCTTTTAGTCAGTTCTGCTGCTAGGCAATGGCAGTGTTACCAGCTTCCTGGGTATCTTTATAGAGACCCTCAATGAATGTCAGGCAGGATATACACACATGTATTATGTGTATTTATTTATGTTATCTCCCACTCTTCAAAAAACACAAGTGGTCTGGTGGTGTCGTTCAGTGGTAAACACATACTTACTGTGAAATGTCCTGGGCTCAATCCCCAGCACTAAGGAAAAAACTGCAGAAAGCTACAGGTTAGGGACTGGAGAGATGGCTCCGAGGTTAAGAGCACTAACTGCTCTTGCAGAGGACTCAGACTTAAATCCCAGCACTCACATGGTAGCTAACAACCATCTCTAACTCCAGTTCCAAAGGATCTGACACCTTCTTCTGGTGTCCACAGGCATTGTACAACATGGGTGCACTTACATACATGCAGGCATAACACTCCACATAAAATAAAAGTAAATTTAAAACACCACAGGCAGCCATATACCAGCACTATATGTTCTGTCTCTCACTTTTTTGATTTGGAAGATAGGGTCTCACAAGCCCAGGCTGGCCTCTAACTCACACTTAGCCTCATCCTCCTGAGTGCTGGGATTATATATGGACACTACCACATGCAGCTTGCTTCTTTCTTTTTTTTTTAACTTAGCTCTTGACATTTTTCTCATAATGGTATATAAACAATTTTGTTTCCTTCTTTAATAGATGAATCTATTGCATGGATAGGGCAGTTTGTTTTTAACAGTGTTTTGGGGTGTTTTTTTGGGGGGGTTGTCTTTTTTGAGACAGGGTCTTCTGTAGCCCCAGCTGGTCTGAAACTCACTAAAGAGACCAGGCTGGCCTCAATCTCACTGAGATCACCTGCCTTTGCCCTTTCAAGTATTGAAACTGAAGATATGCACCACCACGCCTGGCATAGTTTTAAAAGGATTTGTGTATGCATCTGAGTGAGTGTTGTATATGTGTATGGGGGTGGGTAGATCACCTTTGTGTGTGCTGAGACCAGAAGGTGGCATTGGTTATCTATTACTCTCCACCTATTCTTTTGAGGCAAGGTCCCTCCCTGAACCTGACTCACATTTTCTCAGCTAGGCTGGAAACTAGGGAGTCCAATGATCCTCCCTTCTCTCTCTGGGAGCTGAGGTTACAGGCATACACTGTAACCTTGCCAGGCTTTTATGTGGGTGCTGGGATCTGAACGCCAGTCCTCAGGATTGTATATCAATTTATTGCGAGCCATCTTCCTAGCCTCCTAACGTAGGTTCTAAAGAGTTTATCCTAGTGATGTTGGAAGTCTAAATTAATATCAAAGTAATATATTTTATAATGTACAGTACCTACAATTTTTAATAAGCTTGAGGGTTTTGTTGATTTTTGTGTGTGTGTGTGTGTGTGTATATCTGTTGCTGGGGATAGATAGAACTGATGGTCTGATGAGCTAGGCAAGTGCTCTATACTGAGCTACACACCAAAGCCCTATGATAGCCTACCATTCTTTTATTGAGACAAGAGTGTCACTATCCATGGCTAGCCCAAAACTCCCTATGCAGGCCAGGTCAGCCTGGAACTCAGAGAGATCTGCCTACCTCTGCCTTCTGAATGCTAGGATTAAAGGCATGCATTACCACCACACCTAGGTTTTTGGTAGTTTTTTTTTTTTTGTCTTTTTAGAGGCAGGGTCTCCCTATGTAGCCCCAGCTGGCTTGGAACTCGCTAAGTAGACCAGGCTGGTCTCGAACTCACAGAGCTGTGCCTGCCTTTGCCTCCCAAGTGCTGGCATGTGCCACCACTCCCGGCCTCTTTTTTAAAACATATTTTTTATTATTTCTTTTATGTTTTTATGTATATGAGTATATTGCCTGCATGTAAGTAACACCCACATGTAGTGCAGTACCCACAGAGGTCAGAAAAGGGCGTTGGATCCCCTGGAACTGGAGGGTTATTAGCTGCCATGTGGGTGCTGGGAACTGAATCCATGTCTTCTCCAAGAGCATCCAATGCTCTTAACCTCTGAGCCATCTCTCTAACCCTGCAACCCTGTTTCTTTGAAAACTCTCCTATGTGATGATTAAGTTTCACTGTGACACTGTTCAGGAAGCAGATGCTTTCATGAGTTAAATGTTTGGTGTTTCTTTCTTGCAGCTCTCAGTAAATTCACATTTTATGAAGGACCTGGGCTTAGACAGTTTGGACCAAGTGGAGATCATTATGGCCATGGAAGACGAATTTGGTAACAAACAAACCTTAGCTTTGAATCTGCATGTTAATGATTCTTTGTTTTGTTGACTTTATTTTTTTAAAAAAACTAAGACTTGGCTGGGTATGGTGGCGCATGCCTTTAATCCCAGCACTTGGGAGGCAGAGGCAGGCAGATCCCTGTGAGTTCAAGGCCAGCCTGGTCTACATAGTGAGTTCCAGGACAGCTGGGGCTACAGAGAGACCCTGTCTCAAAAAGTCCCCCGCCCCCCAAAAAAACCCACTAAGTCTCTCTGTTACCCAGGCCATGTAGCCTAGGTTGAGTGATTTTTGACTTAGGTGAATGAAATGCTGGGAGTCTTGAATTGGATTCAGATTATTAATAGAAACAATAGCAGCCACTTCCCTAATATTTACCATTCCACTTACTGATAAATGAAGTAAATATTAAGGACAGTGCAGGTGTGGCAGAGCACAGAATAGAATTAGGGGCTGACCAACCAGAAAAGGCCCAGGAGAACATGGGACTTAGGGTCCCATAAGTAGCAAGCTATGACTCCTTTCTGGGTGAGCTGTTTGACAAATAAGCAAAAGGATTTCTGTGTCATCTAACAGGCCCTAAGTTAAAATTCCTCATAGATGATGCTACCAAAAGAGATGCTGTTGCTGCCTAGGGCTTAAGAGTACCAGGACCTTGATTGGGGTCAGCATGTGTGAGCCTGGACAAGTAACTGCATCTCTCAAAACCTGTTTGCTCTGCTCTGAAATGAGTGATGCCATTAGGAACCTCAAGACTAGGACTGCTGAAATCACACAAAGTGCTCAATACAGTATTTGAGCCCAAGTAAGCACTCAGCTGCTGGAAACTATCAAAACCGAGCTGCCAGTAACAAGGGATAAAGCTGATACATATTACAGCATGCTTGTAAATTTGAGAGCACACTAAGTGAGAAGTCAGATATAAAATACCTCATCACATACTGCATGTAAGCCTCGTTAACATGAAATGTCAAGAAGAGGCAGTTCTAGAGGGACAGGACATTAGTGGTTGCCAGGGATGGGGATAATGGGGAGGGAACTAATGGGCACTTAGTTTCTTTATAGGGGTGATAAAAATGTTCTAGGGGCATTTGATTAATTCTAGGGAAATTAGATAATAGTGATAACTTTTTTTTGGTCTTTTTGAAACAGGGTCTCCCTGTAGCCCAGCTGTCCTGGAACTCACTATGTAGACCTGGCTGGCCTTGAACTCACAGAGATCCACCTGTCTCTGCCTCCCAAGTGCTGGGATTAAAGGTTGCGCCACCATGCCTGGCCAATAGAGATACTTTTATAACCTTATAAATATACTACAGACTAATGAGTTGAATGTTTGAATGGAGGAATTCTCCATTATGCTAATTCCTCCTTTTAAAAGAACCCTTTACCGAACCTGGCATGGTGGCACACACCTTTGATCCCAGTACTCAGGAGGCAGTGGCAGGCAGACCTCTGTCAGTTCAGTTCAAGGTCAGCCTTGTCTACATAGTGAGTTACAGGTCAGTTGAGGATACAGGGAGACCCTGCCTCAAAGACAAAAACAAAAAACCTTTATCCTACTCAACATGATATAATGTGTATGTGTGTGTGTTGAGTCTAAAACTACTCAGCTCAAAAAGAAAAGTGGATTCAGGACTGTTGGAAATTTTTAAGTCTGTAGGTATTACAAAAGGATCAAATCCATGCCAGGCTTGGTAGCTTAGACCTGTAATCCCAACTACTCAGGAGGCTTGAAATTTAAAGGCTAGCCTGGGTTACATACAGACTGAGTTCACGGCCAGCTCGAGTAACTTGAGAACCTGTCTCAAAAGGAAGTGGGGGGAGTTGTGTGCTTTCAGTTCTAAGGCATTCGTTTTTTCTATATTCACTTTTCTTTTTTCTCCCTAGGGTTTGAAATTCCTGATATAGATGCAGAGAAGTTAATGTGTCCACAAGAAATTGTAGATTACATTGCAGATAAGAAGGATGTATATGAATAAAGTAGCAGGTAAATAATCTGACGTAAAACCATGTTCTCCCACAGAACTAATTTGCCTGTAGTTCTTCAGCAAAGCATGACTCATGAAGAAACAAAAGTTGGCAGTGCTTGGCAGAGATTTTACCAGTTATGTAATGCAAGTTGTTTCCAATTACCTGCCAACCAAAGGGCCCTAACACTCACAAGTGGCCTTTTTATCTCCAAGAGAGGCTTGAGAGTATCATTCCTGCACAGGATTTGGCCCTCCTCATAAAAGCAGTATTACACAAAATACTGTACACCACAACCCAGAAACAAACTTCAGTCCTTCAATTACCCACTCAAGGCAAGCTCTGGGATGCAGAGATGGCCTGACCCAGGGCTACTCATGGGTAAGAGGATGGGCTTCAGAGACAGACAGCCAGGTTTACTCAGTTCTGCCCCGTGCTGTCAGCTTAATCATCTTGGGCAAGCTGCTGGCCTCTGAATTTGATTCCATGTAAGGTGGGAACAATGATAGGACACACTGGGCTTTGTGAAGGTCAAATTGGGTCTCATAGCAGTGCTGTCTGCTGTGAAGACGCCTCAGCAAACAGTTGCTGTTGCTTAGCTCTACTGTGTCAGTGCTTAAAACCTTTAGTTACAATGGACTGTGCTCCTTAGAGATGTCACTTAGAATCACTATATACCAAAAGAAACCAAACTTATCTTATCATTGCTAGAGCCTTTTTCCTCTTGGAGAGGACTCAGAGAACACTGGCGAGTGTCTGGGAGTGAGAACACGTGGTGGCATCATCGCTGACTGGCCGCAACTCTGTTGGACTTGTATTTAAATTGAGTGTTTTGCCCTTTAAAATAAATCTCTTATAAAACCAGTATTTTTCTCAATCTTGATTTTTTCTTTATTGAGACAGTTTCACTCTGGCCCGAATTCACTAGCACAGGCTAACTTCACACTCACAGCACTTTTCCTGCCTCAGGTTATATAGGCTTCAACCACCCTCAGCCTAGTCTTTAATATTTCAATGATGTCTGTAAAATGCCTTTATTGATATCACTTAATAGCTTTGAAGATTTGTTGTTGTTAATTATGCTATAAGGCTTGGAGCACTGGGGTGGGCAGTGAATAAGAAACAAGATAATGATAAATGTATGAAAATATAATGAAACCCATTATTTAGTATACAAACCAAAAAATAATGTACAGCCTACTCAGGCATTGTGGTACATTCCTATAACTTCTGCCCTAGTGCAAAGCCAGGGAGTATGTTAAGTGCGCCTATGCAGTGCCCACGGAGGTCAAAAGAGGGCATTAGATACCCTGGAATTAGAGTTGTGGACGGTTGTAAGCTGCCATGTGGGTGCTAGGAACCGAACCCAGGTCCTCTGCAAGAGTAGCCAGTGCTCTTAACTGCTGAACCATCTCTCCAGCTCCACTTGCTGCTCTTTAAGAGGACCCAAGTTCAGTTCTCAGTACCCACATCTGATGGCTCACAACTGCCTTCCTATAACTCCAGTTCCAGAGGATCTGGCACCTCCTTCTGGCCTCCATGGGCACCTGTACACATGTACATATTGCCCCTCATAATTAAAAATAATAAAAATAGGGGCTGGAGAGATGGCTGAGTGGTTTAGAGCAAAGAGTTCACAGGTGACTGGGTAACAGCAAGACCATATTTTAAAAAACAAAGCTGTGGAACACTAATGCATCTTTCAACTCATCAATGACACTCCCTCGTGCAACACAGGGCCAGGAACACAAAAGGTCACAAATGGCCAAAACTTGGAGAGTAAGTGCAGAGTGTGGGTCCTTGAACAGGACTCCTATATTAAAATCTATCCACCCAGGGCTCAGGGACCATTGCAGAAGAGGGAGCAGAAAAATTTTAAGAGCCAGGGAGGAGGTGCATGACCATACAGAAATGGCCCTACAGGTTCCTGGGACCCTTCCCATACAAACCTACAGTAGTGGTGTCAGCATGCAAAAACCCTGCACAGAACTGTGGAAATGAACAGCAGGCCCCAATCTTAGTCAAAGAATTATTGGCAGCTGACTACTAGTAGGTGAGGAAGAGCTAAATCTTCTTAGAGGGACTCCAGACAGGCTGACTAGACCCCAGTGGATGAACTTGCACTGAGGGACATCTGGGACACTAAGTACATGATAGACCTTAACACAAATGACAATGTAGGAACCCCAGTGGAGGGGAGCTAAGGGAGGATGCCAAAGGGGAAGGAGGTATAAAGATGATTTTCTGTATGATATACACAAAAATTCAATAAATTAAAAAAAAAAAAAAGCTTTGGGATGGGCATGTTGGTTGCACACCTTTAATCCCACCACCTAGAAGGCAAAGACAGGTGGATCTCTGTAAGATCGAGGCCAGCTTGATCTACATGGTAAATTCTAGGGAGACCCTGTATCAAAAAGACCAAAAAACCCCAAAACAACAAAAAAAGCTTTTCCAGAAGTAAACTAAGTGTCCCTTTCCCCTACTTTCAATATGGTACATATATTGGTGGTAAAATGATGACACTGTTTCAATTACTTTTTCTATGACCTAATGAGTCATCAGATGTTACCAGCTGCTGACCAGTTCTTCATCCTTTACCTTCCTTTCCAAAATGCCAGAACTGAAGGTGGCTGTCCCCAAGGTCAGCTTGGCACTGCACACAGCTCCTTGGTTTCATACCAGTATTGACGCTGCTCTCTGCCACCTCTTTTCTTTTTGGAGATGTGCTGAATGTAGCTAGCCCCGGTTGGCCTCAAACTCATAATCCTCTTGCCTTAGTCTCCTGAGTGCTGCTGAGCTGCCTTTACCCCAGCTCCACATCTCAGCATTGTTTGTTCCTTGGGGTTGATATAGGTAATATGTTTGTCTTGCCTACGTCCTGAGATTCTGTTTGAGAGTCATGTGATACTAAGCTTTCCAGTTTGTAGAAGGGAGAGGAACCTAGAGCCTATAGTAGTGTCATCAAGGTGAAGGAGTGAAGCTAGGGAGAGGAACCAAGAATCTGTAGTAGTGTCATCAAGGTGAAGGAGTGAGGCTAGGGAGAGGAACCAAGAGTCTATAGTAGTGTCATCAAGGTGAAGGAGTGAGGCTAGGGAGAGGAACCAAGAGTCTGTAGTAGTGTCATCAAGGTGAAGGAGTGAGGCTAGGGAGAGGAACCAAGAGTCTATAGTAGTGTCATCAAGGTGAAGGAGTGAGGCTAGGGAGAGGAACCAAGAGTCTGTAGTAGTGTCATCAAGGTGAAGGAGTGAGGCTAGGGATCCTCAGCCAGCAGCGAAGCTCCTGACTGGGATGAGGTTCTAAAAGGGCAGGAGTCAGCTCTTCAGTTGGGTCTACGTTTATACCTGCTGCTCTCTAAAATGCCCAGCTGCTACTGTATCTCCCCAGAGTTATTCCAGGCATGTCAGTCATACATATGTCATTTTTAGTTTTTTTGCAATGCTGGAAATGTATCCCAAGGTATTGTACATGCTAGGCAAGGGCTCTACCACTAGATCCCCAGACTCCTCCATTTAAGAAGGTACCATGCAAAACTGCCAAACTGAAGCACAAAGATCTTGTTTGTTTTTGAGACAGGGCCTTACTATGTAGACCTGGACCTGGCCTGGAAATCACTATATAAACCACACTGGCCTTGAATTCAAAGAGATCCACTGTGCTAGAATTAAAATGTGTGTGCCACTATGCCCCACTGTTATTTTTTACAGAGGCATTTATTTCATAAAGAGCCTTGAGTGCCTGTTACAACCAGCAGTGAACCAAAATGGGCTGCATGTGATTGCCCTGACTGGAACTCACTCTAGGGTATTTTGGTGATATTCTCCCAAGTTGTTCCGGCTATTTTAAGTCCCGGGGCAGCTGAACATTTGGTCAAAGAATGTGTCTACATTGTTTTTGCCAAAGATCACTAAGTCTAGCAGGACTGCCACTACAGTGACTGTCACTGATGCTAACTATACACTTGTGCTAAGTGCCAGAGGAGCCAGGGTGAGGGAAAGTTCACTGGATCACACACCGAGAAAGGATCTAGCCACTTAAACACCTTTCTGCTCTAAGAACTCACTGCAATGTTTTCAGTGAGACTTCTGTGCTATGGCAGGCAGGCAGAAGACTAAATACAACATTCTGAATTGCAAATTACAGAAAAATAAATGGAAAATAAAGGTGTAGCTGTGGGTGGTGTGCATGCATGTGTGTGTGTGAAGGTTTCAAGACAGATGTTGGGTGTCTTCAATTGCTCTCTACCTTTTATATTGAGGCAGGGTCCCTTAATAGCCATTTCAGCTACTTTAGGTAGCCAGTTTGCTTAGGGAATTCTGTCTCCTGTGCCCTAGGATGACAGGTGGGCCACCACACCCACTTAGCTTTTACATGAGTTTTGGGACTCTGCTTCAATCCTCATGCTTGGGTGGCAAGTACTTTACCCACTGAGCTACCTCTTCAACCTGTATAGTTTTTATGGCCTTCTACAACCATCTCTGGGGATTTTTGCATCTAGATGATGTTCCCTTTGTGAGGAGGATGGCTTGTGAGCCCTCAAGGCCTTGAGGCCATGAATGTAGTTTAGTGTTTCCTGGGTTCCATCTGCAGCTACATTGCAAGTTCAAAGCCAGCCTGGGCCACATGAGACCCTGCCTAAAAATTTTTTTTAACAGTAAGTTTGGGCCGAAGAGATGGCTCAGTGGTTAAGAGCACTGACTGTTCTTTCAGAGGACCCAGGTTCGAATCCCAGCACCCACATGGCAGCTAACAACTGTAACTGTAACTCCAGTTCCAGAAGATTTGACATCCTCTACCGTCCTCTGGGGGCATTGCACAGCATGGGTGCACTTACATGCAGGCAATACACTCATATATATATATATATATAAAAAAATAGATAAATCGCCGGGTGTGGTGGTGCACACCTGTAATCCCAGCACTCAGGAGGCAGAGGCAAGCAGATCTCTGCGAGTTCAAGGCCAGCCTGGCCTACACAGTGAATTCTAGGACAGCTGGGGCTATAGGGAGACCCTGTCTCAAAAATACCCCCCCAAAAAAAATCAAAAAATATTTTTAAAAATACTTAAATTTGGCTGGGTGTGGTGTCATACACCTTTAATCCCAGTACTCTGGGAGGCAGAGGCAGCCAGATTTCTTGTGAGTTCAAGGCCAGCCTGGTCTACACAGTGAGTTCAGGCCAGCTGGGGCCATAGGGAGACCCTGACTCCCTGGGCATGGTGGTACACACCTTTAAACAATCCCAGCACTCCAGGAGGCAGAAGCAGTTGGATCTCTGTGAGGTCACTTCCAGTTAAAGAGGTGGCTGGATTAGCCATAGAAAGATTTTCTATAGGGGAGAGAGACATAGTATTTAAGTTCAGTTGCTGGTCACTACACTCAGGATGGACTGAGGAGGATGAACATGATAGTTACTGCAAGAGCCCACAAGAAAAAAAAAAAAAATGGAGAGCCTGGCGTGGTGGCATACACCTATAGTCCCAGCACTTGGCAGAAGAGGCAGGCAGATTTCTGTGAGTTCAAGGCCAGCCTGGTCTACAAGGCAAGTAGGTCAGCTGGGGCTACAGGGAGACCCTGTCTCAAAAAGACAAAAAAAAAAAAAAAAATCTGGAAACTGGGACAAAGAGTACTGAGGAGGTTGTGTGAGTAAAGTGACAGATGGTGCAGGAAGAGAGTATAGTGTTATCTCCCACACTCACGGCTTCAGTCTGATACTAGTGAGCTGCTGACAAAACCAGGGATAAGGACTAGATTCGAAGGGGAACTGTAACTTCAGTTTGTGACATGGTGCATTTGAGGGGTTTGTGGGTACCCAAGCAAGCCACAGATGGTGAGCAAGAGCACCACCACACTGGAGCCATGGCTTGAGCCAGAGTCTGCAGGGAGCCTCCGCACTCTACCAAGTATGTTAAGTGGGTATGGCTGACCCTGTGTTCTGAGGATGGTCCTCAAGCAATGAAGCCTAAATTCTGTTCCTTTAGCAACAGGTCAGCCTAGGTTGAGAAGACACGGGAACAGAGACACACCTATCATTTGAACTTTGTCAAGTGCACGTATGGCTATTCTGGTTTTTAAAAATTAATAAAGCCACTGAGTGTGGTGGTGCACACCTTAATCCCAGCACTTGGGAGGCAGAGGCAGGCAGATCTCTCTGAGTTTGAGGCCAGACTGGTCTACATAGTAAGTTCCAGGCCAGCTCAGGCTACAGGAAAACCCTGTCTCCAAAAATAAAAAAGCCAAATAAATTTCACAGATTTTGATTAATAAAGCAGAAGGCAAGGTTCAAAGTTTAAGGAAGCAATTCACAAACGTGTTAGTGAAATCATTGGGAAAAAAGCAAAATAGGCAAGAACCACTTCAACTCATCAACAGTCAGATGAATGAATGTCGACTCCAGCCTTCAGGCAGACCTAGATCTGAATCACAACCTGTCTTGGACAGTCCTGTGTTCTCTGAACCCGAGTCCCCTAATGACTAAAATAAGGCTATCAGGAGGGATGTGACACATTCCTGTGGTAACCCACATAACCTAGTACACCAGTGGAAACACACATACTTGATACATCGATGAAGGAGCTGTAGAGCAATTCCTATGGATATGAGTACTCGGGGGGCCCTTTTCCTGCCTCCCATTCTTCCCTTGAAGGCTGGAGCCCTAGAGGAGGTGTTTCCAAGTAATATTTTCCTATCAACATTTTCCTTGCTAGACAGTCTGTCAAAGTGTTACTTTGGAATGGAATATGTGGGAAAGTCACAACAAAAAGTAAACCAGCACATCTTCGATGCTGAAGTTATCATGTCTCTGTGGAGGCAGGAGTAAGAAGGAAGGGGCAGGAGTAAGGAGTAACAACATCATCTGGGAGTTTTACAACATTTGGGGCAAAAACCCCTTTCCTGTGGGAAGTTCTGTGTCCACAGAGAACACTGCAGAACCAGGCATGACATGGTCAGACTGGATTTGAGTATTTGCATTGGGCTAAATCTGACATTCTGGATTGTAGTTATTAACAAAAGAGCCCAAGTCCTTTGCCTAACTCAAGTGAACTGGGTTTGTCACCAAGAATTATTAGTCTTAGCTGGGTATAGTTGTGTATACCTTTAGTCAGCACTTGGGAGGCAGAGGCAGGTGGATCTCTGAGATCACAGCCAAAGTGGTCTACATAGTGAGTTCCAAGCCAGCTGGGGCTACAAGGAGACCCTGTCTCAAAAAAACTGAACAAAAGTTAGTCTTCAGTTACAAACCTGTGGAGTCTCTCTAATCTTATTTAGACTTGGATGTGAGAGTGGAGCCATAGTGATCACTAGACAGGAGGACTCAACCTTGGAGGTGGGAAGAGCTCCCTGATAAACCTCTCTAGGACCACAGACCATCCTCAGCCCTGAGAAACCCACAACATGAAGACTCCCAACCAAGCTGGCTAGGACTTGGTGGCACACACCTATAGTCCCAGCACTTGAGAGGCAGAAGTAGGAACATCAGGGGTCAAGGCTATCCTCAGCTACATAATGAGTTCAAGGCCAGCTTGGGCTCCATGAAACCTTGCCTGGAAAAAAAACTGATGACAGGAGAAGACAGGTCACAAATCAAAAGATTAAAATTATACAAGGAAAAGAAAATATTTTAGGTTATATAAGGAGAGGGAATGATGGAGTAGCTCCACGGTAGAGCATTTGCCTAGTCTGTGGAGGCCTTGGGTTCAGTGCTCACTATAACAGTCATGCATGTAAGGTGAAAAAAAATCCAAGATTAGTAACAACAGAATAGTTGAGTATTTTAAAAATGTAAGAACTCCCTTGGGCATGGTGGTACATACCTTTAATCCCAGCACTCGGAAGTCAGAGGCAGGTGGGTAGAACTCTACAAGTTTGAGGCCAGGCTAGTCTACACAGTGAGTTCCAGCCAGCCAGGGCTACATAGCAAGACCCTGTCTCAAAAAAAAAAAATCTAAAACCAAAACCAAAAAACCACACACACACATGGATTTTAATTGGGAAAAATTCTAATATATTAGGTATTATTGAATTGATACTTTCTTAGATGCAATGGAAGCACTGTGTAAGGTTTAATACAGTCTTCTTAGATGTATGCTCATGTAGCCCAGGCAAGGGTCTCAATCTGCATGTCTGTCAAATACATCAACACAATAAATGATCAGAGAAAGAGAAAGCAATTTTACCAACCAATAAAACTATGTGAAAGCTATAAGAATGTTATGTTAAATAGACTAGTGTATTTCAACTTTCTATAGGTCTAAATTTCTTCCAAATAAAAAAGGGAGGGCCTGGGATGACTCAGCAGGTTAAGGTGCTTGTTGCACAAGCCCAAGTTGGACCCATGGAATCCACAAAAACATGGAAGAAAACAGACTCCACAAACATGTGCCTTGGCACACATGACCACATATACACAATCGAAAAACTTTTTTGCCTGCACCCCTGTAGCTGGCAGTTAAAAGGGCCACCCACAATGGGCAGGCGGCCCCAAGCAATGTGCTATGTATGACAACTTAACTCCCGGTGACACCAGGAGGCAGGGCGGAGGCTCTTTAAACTGCGCTTTTTAAGCTGGTTTAGTGGCACACACCTTTAATCCCAGCACTTGGGAGGTAGAAGCAGGCAGATCTCTATGAAACTGAGGCTAGTCTAGTCTACATCGTGAGTTCCAGGCCATCCACGGCTACAGGGAGACGCTGCTTAAAAAAAATAAAATAAAATAAAAAATAAAGGGGAAAATAGATAAGGGTAAAAAGGGACAAAAACTGGAAGAAATTTGAAACGTGGTTATAAACTTGGTTTTCCTTGTTGTTCAACAAGAAAAAGTTGAATAATCAGCAAGACTAACAATGCTTGTAAATAAAAGTAGCCTTGGGAACTACGTCTGACCAACAGTTAGGGAAGCCAGAGGAACAGAATAGTATCTGGGGCAGTTGTATGTGGCAGAGGTCTCCTGGGGGGGAGGAGGGGGGAGAGAAGCTCACTCCCACGGCTCAGCTGACTTTAGTTCAGGCAAAAAGTAGGGAGAAGCCACTGTCTCTGACTGAGGACTGCTTGATGGGTCTCTGGTATAGAAAGGGTTCTGTTAGCTACAAGACTACAGTACAGACACATACTGGTATTTATCTCTTTCTCTAAAGAGGGGCAACAGGCTTGTTAATTTTAAGGTATATGAAATAATTATTCAGGACTGTGATAAAAATATCCTCCACATACACAGCAGATTCTCTAGGTGGGCTCTAGCACATGGCACTACTCAGTCTACTCAGTCTTCTCCCATGAAATAGCCAGATTTTTAAGAATCTAGCGGTGGGCCAGAAAAATAGTTCTCCTAAATTCAATCCCAAGACCCACATGGTAGGAAAGAACTGATTCCTACAAGTTGTTCTCTGACCTCCACACATACCTGCTATGACATGCTTGTGGACACACATACACACACACACACACTCCCCCCCACACACCAATAAATAAATAATTTGAGACAGGGTCTCACTTTATAGCCCTGGCTGGCCTGGAACTTGCTATGTAGACCAGGCTAGCCTTGAATTCACCAAACCACCTACCTGCTTCTGCCTCTGAAGTGCTGGGATTCAAGGTGTGTTGCCACCATGCTCACATAGTAAAACTTAAAATAAAAGAATCTAGCAGTGTTACTCTAAACATCACAGCACATGCCTGTAATCTCAGTGCTCATGTGGCTGAGGTAGGAGGATCCTGAGTTCCAGATCAGCTTGTGCTATACAGTAAGACCCAATCTAAAAACAGAAGAAGCTGGGTGTGATGGCGCATGCCTTTAATTCCAGCAGAGGCAGGGGGATCTCTGTAAGTTCCAGGCCAGCGAGTCTCACAGTGCGTTCCAGGCCAGCTGGGGCTACTGGGAGATCCTGTCTCAGACAAAAAAAAAAAAAAAAAAAAAAAAGAAATCTTTCCCTGTTGTTTTATACTCAGGAGGTATTAGGAAAATGGAAGAGCTGATCTCTCCCTCTGCCAGAAAAAGGGAGACCAGAACCTTCAGGAATTTACACCATGGAGGGAACTGGAAAAATGTCTACCATGACTGTGCTGGGTCAAAATGAGTTTGTGGCGTAACTGTCACTTGCATACCAAGAAGAGTTTTGTTCCATTTCTGGTTAATAATTTTAACTATTAACTCCCTCCCTCCTTGCTGGGTCTTAGAGTGCATGTCTCAAGCTGTGGCTCATTCCAGTGTTTTGTTTTTTTGTCTTTTTTGAGACAGGGTCTCCCTGTAGTCCCAGCTAACCTGAACTCACTATGTAGACCAGGCTGGCCTTGAACTCACAAAGATCCGCCTGCCTCTGCCACCCAAGTGCTGGGACTAAAGGCATGCGCCACCACGCCTGGCTCATTCCAGTGTTTTTTAAAAGCATATCCTTGAAGACTAAATGGCCTGTTGAGGGTACACGGCTCTAGTCAGGGTAAGAGTCAGGGAGGCAGCTTCCCTCCAACTGCAGTCATGAATGACAAAGGAGGGCTGCCCTAACAGGGGAGTGGCTGATTGGCAAACCCATCACTCTGATACTTCGTCAATCAAATCTCCTTGTCCTCTGTTTCAGAGGAGAATAAACATGGATATACTAAAAGCCACTCAATACAGACCACAGCTGGTAAAAGGTGGCTCTGGGCCCAGTTCTAAATGTTGGTGAGTTCCCAGTTTAGAATAGGCGCATGAAGAATTAGAAGGAAAGAGGGACGCAATTAATTATCAAACTTTAATTGATAGACTAATCTTACAGGGTAAACAATGAGACAGCTAGTTAAGGTTACACTTGAAAAAAAATCCAGCAGCGCAAATCTAATAGACTACATAACGTTCATCTCCTCCCAAACAGGCATTTTGTTTTAAAAAACAAACCAGAACAGAGTGTACACCACAAGGAAACATGGTACTTACATACATTGTCAAATAACTCTGCAGAACTCTTTAAGAAAGGAAAAGAAAGGTTCTTAGACACCCAGAAAGCAGTAGAACCGCCCAGACTGGCAGGTAAGTCCACCAGACGTCCTGCACATCAGAAGGCTCCTGACCACTGTTGACTTCAGGAAGGCTGCTATGCCATACAAGAAGGAAAAAGGCCCACCCTGACAGGAGGTGACTCTTATTACAAAGCCTGAAGACAGAAGGACAATCCTTTTTCAAGAAACAGGCATGAACAGCGGCAAGGAGCATGAAAAAGATGGTTCCGGCAGCAGGTGGGTGGAAAGAAAGCCTGCCCTTGCATGGCCCTTGGCACATGGGTCTATCCCTTTCCCTTCTCAGCTGGCAAAGAAAGGGTGGGAAGATTTCAAGAGCCTACAATGGCTCCTCCAGGCACATGTTACAGAATAAGAAAACTCCCCTTCTGGGTGAAATATGGCAACTTTTCTGAGATACGGCAACGTAGCAAACTTAATCTCTTTGGCCCTTGTAAGGGAAAGCAGCAACTAAGGAGCCACTTAGGACCTTGCCAGGCCCCCAAGATGCTAAGAAAGTGCATCCTTACTCAGTTAAACTTCATCTAAGAGCCAAAGCTACTTGCAAAGGCCCACCATGAATTAAAATACTTCATACCAGAGAGCTCCAGCAACTCTTGAGTCTAAGTGCTCTGAGTTGACTAACTGAAACAGAGCTGAGGCAACCAGGCTCAGCAGGAGTTATGTGGTCACATTTTTCTGCCAAGTTGCCTCAAGGAGGAAAAGGAAAGTGTGATGTCTGTGAGGGCAGACCTGCAAGAGGGCCACCAGTACCAATTCTAGATGAGAGAGCAGTCTTTTGGGAGGCTACATGATGACAAGCCCCAGAGAAGCCTGGGACCCCTCCACCTAGCTTCATGTAATGCCACCAGAGGCCCTCTCCTGGAGAGCCACTTGCATGCCTCTGCCACAGGGAGGGAAAGTTCCAGTCCCCTCTCATCTGACAGTAAAGGAGTTGTACAGAAATAATCCTGAGGAAAAATAAACACTGGGATGCTACCTAAAGGGAAGAGTACTTCAATTTGCTCACACAGATTTAGTCAATATATTCCACACGGTAAGAAATATAAAAGACTGCTCACGGGACTGAGTGACAAAATAGTGAATAGTGACCCAGACAAGATCTCAACACTTCTCCCAGAAGCTTCCAGTACTGCCTGCCTCTGCCCTCCTGAGAGCTTCTGGCAAGGCCTTCCATGCTGACAGGGTCAGGAGCCAGAGCTCAAGACTGTGATAGCAGATTCAGTGAACTCTGGAAAGCAATACTCAAAACAGCTCCATACGAAAAGGTGTCATTTACATTATTTATAGAGAATATCTTGAAGTAAGGAAAAAGCACCATTTTACTGAAAATAAAAAGACTCACAGAGGCTTTGGTCCTCTTAAAATGACACCAGCCTGAGTGAGAAGCAGTTTGGCCCTTAGGCAGCAGGGGGATAATGGCAGGGCATGCGCACTGGGAGGAGGGGTGGCAGAAAGTGCTAGGAACCACACAGCAAATGGGGGGCTGGCAGGAGGGGGTCTCAGAACCAAAGTGGAAACAGAGGCCTGTCCAGAGAGACCAAAACTGAGTGTGTGGCACTGTCAGACAAGTCTCAAGAAGACGGACATCGGCAAAGAAAAGGACAGTATTGAAACCAAGATGATGGTCTACCTGCTGCACGATCATTTCCTTGGTAGACCTGCCAAGTGCAGGAGGCTGGGACAAGGAGCAAACTGCACTTTTCACCAGGAACTACAGGCCAACAAGAACAGAAAACTGCAATTACCACTGAGGTGATGAGACACAGGCATCTTGGACGCAGCATTTCACATATGTACTTATGTGCCCCAAAAGCAGAACAGATTTTCCTGTCCAGATGTGTAACTTGGCACTGAATACACCACAAAAAGCAAGAGTCTACGTGGGCTGAATTCCCGACTACAGCTTAGAAGGAAGAGCATAAATATCATCATTAACTGGCTCACAAGGAATAGTCACCTTAGGCGAAAACATGCGAATACATTTCACAGGATGAGGGCGGGTAACAGCTTAAGAGTCCAAAGTGTGATGCTGGGAAGGTTTCTCACCAAACCTTACTATGAGAGCCTGCAACCAGGGAGAGGAGAATTGCAAAGACAGCAGCAGAGAAAGAGCAAACAGCACAAAGGGGATTACCCACCAAGTCCCTCAATTCAGAGTCAATCAAGGCATACTGGGACGACAAAAGTTCACATGTACGAAAAACACCAGGGCTAAAACCAGAAGAGGGCAAGCTGATCATGAAAGGAATTTATCCCATTTCTGTTGTTCAAACACCATTGGCCAACCCACTAGGTCAGATGTCTTTTCTGAACCTGGGATAAAGGACACTTGAACTGAATGCATGAGCAGAAGGACCAAACAAAGAAGTGTTATTCAAACAACCACTGGACTACTTAGAGTTCTGGAAACTTCCAAAGCAAGAACTGGTCAAGCTGTGGCCAGATAGTTGCCCGGTTCTTCTTTGGAGCTGGGACCTCGGAGCAGCATGTCCCAGGCTTGTTTGAGCCAAACTGGGTCTCCACGCTAACCCAAGGAGGGCTGCCAACAAGCAAACCAGCAGTGGAAGTCCCCAGAACAGAGGCCCAAAGGGCAAGACATGTACACAGGAGTGACTTGAGAGATTTCTGCTGCTCAACAAACACCAGAGCAAGGGGGAGACCCCAGGCCAAGACCACCAGCTCTTCCTCTCCCACATGCGTTCCCAAGCAGCAGCAGCACATGGGAGAGAGCCCGGCAAGGAAGTGAGGATGAGGTACCAAAAGGGGAACTGGCATCTTTGGGTTTTAAAACAGAACTCTAGGGAAGTGAGAAAACTTTAAAAAAAGGAAAGGAAAGAAATCTGAATTAACATACAGAAAAAAAAAATATGGCTTACTAACCCCCCCATTTTGCATATAATTTTAATACCAAGGAAAGAAAAAAAAAAAAACCCCAACTAATCATAATGCAGTCCAAATGTATGCAACCAAAGACATTTGAAAATACTTCAGTTGAAATCACTTCCAAAAAAACAAAGGAAAGGGAGAGAAAGAAAAAACAACCAGAAAGCTTTTGATTATTTCCTTCTCAGCATAACTGGCAGATCTACTCTCAAACACACTTAAGAGTATTCCACACGTGTTCGGAATTCAGATTTATTGATTTCCACCATACTGACTTTAAAAATGGTATGAAGCTGACTGCAAGAAAGGGAACCAGTGATTTTAAGTTAAAATTAAGCTAATGGTGAGTGAAAGTATATCACCTCTGGCTTCGGTCACCACATCACCTCAGATTGAATAGAGATTTGTGTGTGTGAACAAAGTTCCAGAACTCTGAAATCCAGGGATGCTGCAGGCCTCTCCCGGCAATGTCCTTCACTTTGGGTCAGTCTCCTGGGCCAGAGGTGAAAGTGCTTTCAAAAATACTGCCACTTGCCCAGCACAGTGTCTTTGATTGCATCCACATATTGAGTTGGAACCCAGTACACCCAGTAGTAAGAGGCTTCCGTGGGGCCCAATTGAAATGCCTGCAAGGGAAAAAGGAAAAAGCAAGCGCTGCTTCAGAGGTGGGTGACTAAGCAGGCAGACGACAAACACAGGGAGGAGGGGGGAGTGAATGAATTAAAAAGGGAAGAAAAACAAAACCATGTGTACATGGGAGACTTCATCTATGTGTTTAAAAAAAGGGAGGAAAGGAGTAGGGGAGCAGAGAGTTCCTAAGCCAATCCTAAGGCAGTGGTTTGCAAACTTCGGCACATATATGAACCATATGGAAGACAGAAAAACAGACTGCAGGTTCCACCCTTGGGTTTTTATTTGGGAGGCTGGGACAAGGCCCAAGAAACTTCTGACAAGGTCCCAAGTAATTTAACATTTCTGATCCAGAGGCCACAGTTTGAGAACCACTGCCCTAGAAAACATGTCACTCATGAACAGGAACAGGAATGAATGTCAAAAGCAGGGCTATCTGAAATGATAAAATCCTGGTAATAACCTACATAGCCATCAGTAAGGGTACCCATAATTCACAGGCATGGCTATACTGTTCATACGAACACTGGAGTGCTTTTATTAAGGTATAAATTAATCTTATAGATGGAATTAATATGACAGATCATAATGTCAAACCCAAACCAGCAAATTACAGAATGGTACATTCCATGATGAAAATACTCCATCTTGTTCACGGATGTATATATAAATTAAAGAATTGATAGGTGGAAGAATATACATGATAGATGACAATAATGAAAATGGGGGAAGGGGAAGACAATGGGGACCATCACTGTTCATAAAAAAAATTTATTTAAAAGATTTAAAACAAATTACAAAATATTTACAACTCTCATTTCTTGTGATGGATATATAGGTTATGGTATAGAACAGAAGTGTGTCCTTTTCTTTACCTTTAAAACATTCTAAAAAGGAAGAACACTGTGAACTATGACACACTAATCTAGCTAGACAAATGGCAAGTGCAAAAGGACGGAAGTAAATACTTCCATTAGGTCAAAGGTCAGAGTCCTGCTAAATAGCATTCAAAAAACACAAGGGGACTGCTGGATCTACCTTTGACCAGAAATGACTTGAGAGAATGAATATTTTAAAACTAAATCCTAAGCTATTATGCATGCACATGACCCACTCACCTTGTCTGCTACTCTACCATCAGGCTGCCTGAAAACTAGTGTTGCAAACACCACAGAGTCAACTGTTTAAATGTTTCAAAAAGGAGTGAGGCCTAAAGATATTAATACTCAATTGGTAAAACAGAAAAATAACTGAATGGGCAAAAATAATCTGTCTGCAATCTGTTTCATAGACTACAGAGAGATGAGGGGTAGAAGGGCTCCCTGAGGGCCTGAAAGAAACCCTAGTACATTCTCATCACTGCCAGGAAGACAGTCCAGGAACCTGAGCCCACGATTGCAATCCCACCCATGGTCTGACCAGGTAGGAAGGACATGCTGGCTCTGTAGCCCACCATGCTCTAAGCTCTTCACTGACTTGCCCTAGAGCAAGTGGATCTTCCAACATATCCCTCTGATGTGAACTTGGCAACCCCACCCCCAGGTCAAACCACTAGCTGTTCCATAGGAAGGTGGGAGAAATGAGATGGATCACCACAGGCTACACACTGAAACACTGCCTCCTGGAGGGACAATGGATGGCAAACTTATCCTCACACTACAGCTAGCCCAGGTCAAGTGCCTCTTATAGCAGCTTTGGAGTCCAGGGAGATAAACTTCACTTTTAATGTGGCTGGAAAAGAGCAATGCCTGAGCTGCTTGTTTTTATCAGATCACTGAACTGCTTTCTTTGGTCTACAGTGACTGCCCCCAAATACCTCTTAGGAAATGCAGGGTAAAGCTCCATGTACAGTAAGTGTGTCCCAGGCCCCATCCTCCCACAGGGCTCCTGGTCACTTGGGCACATGCTGGCAAGAGCAAAACCACTACAAGAGCGAGACATCTTGGTGTCTTCACAGCCCCAACGCAAGGGGCTCTTTATAAGCAAGACAAAACTTAAAATGAAAATATCCACAAACCATTCCTCTATATTTATTTTCCTGGACTTAAATTATTGAAAATAAGGGGGAGATAGAAGAGATTTCTAAAAAAGGACAAAAGAAAATATGCCCTACTTTGAACTGCTAAGAGATTGTAAAATAAATACAACTAGGAGCAAGGTTACAGATATAACCCTAAGTAAATGAAGGAAACATGAAGGGCTTTATAGTTTTCTGAAGACTGCTTTCTCTTCAGTCAGAAAAGCCCAGTTAAAAATCCACTCGAGGCTGGGCATGGTGGCGCACGCCTTTAATCCCAGCACTCGGGAGGCAGAGGCAGGCGGATCTCTGTTGAGTTTAAGGCCAGTCTACATAGTCAGTTCCAGGACACGTGGGGCTACAGGGAGACCCTGTCTCAAAAAGACCAAAAAAAAAAAAAAATCCACTCCCATTGGGCGTGGTGGCACATACCTTTACTCCCAACACTTAGGAGGCAAAGACAGGCGGATCTCTGTACATTTAAGGCCAGCCTGGTCTACATAATAAGTTACAGGCCAGCTGGAGCAAAAGGGAGACCGTATCTCAGACCCAAAAAATAAATTAAAAAACCATTCCCTACAAGTTAAAGCAGAAGCAGGTGGCAAGGCAGGCTGAGCCAGCCAGAGCTACTCACCATCATGTGGTAGTCTTCATGTCCTTCAATAGGTTCACTGACCACATTTTTAATGGAGCCCATGGGCAGTTTCTCTGTCCGCTCTAGGTTGAAAGGGATGACAGTAGTTACTCAAAAGCCCATCTGTCCCAACTCCTTGGCCACAGCAATTCCTCCCACATCAGAGCTGCTATAAGATGCACTTGAATTGAGCTAATGTGAGGATGGGTTTTCCTTGTGGAGATGAAGGACTCATCTTCTGACCAGTATAGCTACAGTCTCCTAGGAAGCTGGGAATTCTGGAGCACCAAATGGACAATAGGGTTTATCCATGGTATAGTAAAGGTCTGAGAGCAGATATATCTGTCCTGGTATTTTTAGTTGTAAAGTCTGACAATAAACACCCCCAAACTCCTTTACACGCTCATAATTCAAGCTCAGAATCAGTTAAGATCTTGTGCACCTAGAACAGGGAGACTCAAGAGGTCTAAGAACAAAGAAGTAACACTGCTTCCCTGTGGCTCTCATGGGAGAGAGGAGAATACTTGGCTTCCAAGGCTGCTGTCCATGCCGTGACTCTACCCCCATCCTCTGTATTCATCACACTTTGGGGCAGTCTCTCAAAACAATTAACTCTCTCGTCAGATTAACACTGGAGACACTACTCATCACATGGGACAGATGACGTTTTACAAGTTTGAGGAGGGCAGGAAAGGAGGCAGCAATAAGGCACCCCTGCAGTAAGAGAGGTTGTTGGGTGTGAGCCAACTGCAGGGACCTGTGTGAAAGTGGTGAGGTGTAAGCACGTGGGCCACAGGAAATGACCCCGGAAATACAGGCAGGCATGCTCAGCACTTAAATCAAGGTGGGAAAGACTCATAGCTTTTGCAGAAAGAAAAATCTAGACAGGCAGGATGGGTAACCAGGCAAGCTGCCAAACAGAACTAGGAATTCAAAGTTCTGGGGTCTGGTCTGGCTTGTGACAAGATATTTTACGTCCAGGAGCCCTTACTTCTGAAAACTGAATAATGGGGAGAAGGAACCTGAAGATGTTCCCTCTGTGGCTATAAAACAGTGGCCATAAGCAGACAAGCCCAACAGGTGTCCCTGAGTGGCTTTTGTTTTTGTTTTTTAAACTTTTCACCTTCAAATGCCTGGAGATTTCATGCAAACACAGATTTCTGGCTTTTCCTGAAATCTGGAAAGTTTGGACAATCCAATGCCCACATAATGGATGAGATCAGCAATCAACTAACTAGGTAAGAGCTTCAACTCTCCTACAAACAGTGCTGGGCAGCTGAGTATAAGTAGGGCTTGCTCCCTCGGGAAGCTCTGCCCGTGTGGCCTAGGGGGACAGACCTGAGGGTCTCTTACTCAACCCACTGACAGGCCATTTAGCTGCTGAGACAGTCAAATCACTCCACAGCAGCTTCTTATGGGAGGGAAGATAAAGTTAGTGGCTAGCAGCCAACCCTACAACTCCAGAACAAGCTATGAGTCCTTTTGACCTAGGTGACAGGTCTCCTGGGCATGGAAAGAACATTTGCCCAACCCCTCAACCCTGCCTTGGATACACTGATAAGAGGAACTCTAGCTCTGAATGAAGTTCCTCTAAGAGGTTTGTAAGGAGGTTCTCAAATAGCTCAAATCCCAGTGCATCAGGATGCTTCAAGAACTGCCCTCAAACCAAAGCAGGAAGAAGGCAGCTGCTCCTACAAGTTGAAATAAAATCTTCAAGCTAGACACAATGGCTCACATCTATAATTCCAGTACTCAGGAGGCTAAGGCAGGAGAAACACCAGGAATCTCAGGCTAGACTGGGCTAGATTTCTCAAAACAAACAAAATCAACCAGCCATCTTAGAGACAGCCAGCCTTCCTTAAACAAATCCCTCTGTGTGTGTCTATACAACTTCACAGAAAAACTACTCGGAGGATCCAATAAGCACCAGACCTGAGCCCCACCAAGACCCTTGCCTACACCACCCTGCCTTCCCAGACCAGTCTGGGTCATCTGGGCTGCCAGCAAGAAGCCTAGCTAGAGGTAGAACGTCAATGTGCTTCAGAAGGTGAAGGAAGGACAGAGAAAGAAGCAAGATCACCAACAAAGTACACAGGCAGGGTGGCTAATCACTGAAAAAGGGATGTTGCAATAGGCTCTGCAGAACAAGAATATTCTAGTAAAGCCTTCAAAGGCCCTTTGAAGGCTGGAGAAATGTTTCAAAATTTACAAAACTTTACCATGCAGTTAGAGTTGAATGCATAATAAACAATATATAGCGAGTTATGACAAAATTGTTAGAAATCTCAAAATGAAATCGTGAAAGTGCTTAAGAACCTAGCCTAGGGCTGAAACGTTGATTTTTATGTTCTAAATTTTCATGTTTTAGATGATAAAAATCTCATTCTCCCACCACCCTGCCCCAAGTTTTATTTTCTGTAAAACTTTGGTCCCATTTGCTGCAACCTGTCCCTGGAACCAACGAGCCACAGATGACTGGACCCCTATCCTCTTAAGTAGCATTTACCTCAAACACTGAATACCTACAGTGCTGGCCAGAAACAGATGAATTAGGCATGTTCAGGTCCCTCCAGGAATCTAACAGGGACAGACAAGTCAGAAAGTAATAAGTGCTCTGGGGACATAAACAGAGTGCTTGAGGGACAGAAGCAGTAGCAGTTTACTTAAAGGTGAGGGAGATGTAAGGAAGGCTTCATTAGGAAAGGGCATTTCACGAGGGCCATGGAAGACTACTAATCACAAGGACTAAGGAGAAGGCATTCCAGGGCAGGGCCCAGCAAAGACAGGTGTGCAAAGCATGAGTTGGGAAAATCAAGAAGGATGTGGCTCAAGTACATAAGGGACACCAGGGCTGACGGAACAAGCCAAACATTTAAACTGGGGTATTTATAGGCATCTAAACTTGGCCTTAAAGAGCAAAAGGTTTGGCTGGTGTGATGGCGCATGACTTTAACCCCAGCAGGCAGGATCTCTCTGAGTTCAAGGCCAGCCTGGTCTACAGAGCACGTTTAGGCCAGCTGGGGCCATAGGGAGACCCTGTCTTTAAAAAAAAAAAAAAAAAGAGCTGAAGATTTACAGGCCCAGGAAGCAGAAACAAAAATCAGTATGGAAAATAAGTAGCACAGAAGACAGATGGGGCATGGAAATAGGTTGATTTACTCTTAATACAACTTAAAAAATGCTAGGAGCCTTAATTGGCACAAGGGAATGGCAAAGAGAGGGACAAACAGTTCCAGAGTGTAACCAACAGGATTTGGTAATTACTGGGGGAAAGGGTGAGCAGTGATGGTCAGAGACACATCTCAGAAAAAGCAAGGCTGACTCAGATACTGTGCATAGGCAGGGAGTGAAAGACCAGGAATAGAGGTGTGTATAAAGGACAACCAGGCAGGGAAGAAGGGATAATTCTAGGAAAACTTCACCTATAGGATCAAAATGACCTATAGGGCCCAGGTAGGTACCATGAACAAAGCTGGCTACATGTAAGATGGGGCCATGGTGACTATAGTTTTGCCCAGTGGAAAGTAGATTGGTCACAGCTCCAGGTCCCAATGGCCAGATCTTCTGATAGTTTTTGAAAGAAGACCCCTCCCCATTAGTTTAAGTGAAATCAGAATTTTGCAAATTATATACATACCCACAAACTTGCCCAGGAACTAGACTTGGGCCACATGCTTGGGACCTCTTGGCTTGTGTGCAACTTAAAGGCCAGCATTTGAACAGTGGTCCCTGAGATCATACTAAAAAGAATAAGGGGAAAGGGCCAATGGAGAGGCAAGCATCTAAAGGCAAAGTCAAAAGCCAGGAGTGCAAGAGAGCATAGCAAGGAGAGAGGCCTCTGGATGAGGAGCAGAACTGTACTCAGGAGCCAGTGCTGCTGAACGCCAGAGGCAGGGCAGGAAGTCACAACGCCAAGGAGGCTGAGAAAACCAGCATACCTTTAGTGCCAATCCACAGCTGGTCTTGCTCTAGCTTAAAGGTGAGTCTCACTTTTCCTCCAGACTTATTATACATGCCAGACAAGGGTACCGTTGGCAGGCGCTCCTACAGGTGTAAGAGCACAGTGAGAAAGGGAAGGGCAGAAGGACAGAGAAAGGACAAAACATGGGGCCATGATTGCAGCAGTCTTAGAAAGTGGGACTGGCTCCTTTTTGGAAGTTGACAGAGGAAGCCAGCTTACCTGAGCCCCCTTAACAGATGGCATCACATCTTCGGGTTTTCCTTTGTCCAACACTTTTCTGTGTTGCTACAACATAAGCCAGAAGAGAGGATAAAGTAAGACAGTTGTGTGCATTGAGCAGGTTTCTATCTCTTGGATAGACAAGATGAAGAAAGGCTTGATGTTTGGTCAAAAGCTTTCAGCATCAACAGATTATGTGGTTCCTTGATGCTACAGAGCAAAGCTGCCCAAGGGAGTTTATGTTCACAATGAAATATTCCATACCTATGTTAGCTACTGGCCTCAGTGACTACTGAGAACTGTGTGCGGCTAGTAAGAGCAGGAACTGAATTCTCAATTTTATTTAGGCTTTATCACCTGCACATAGCCATCATTTTAGATATAAAGTACTACAGAGCAAGTAGGATTTCCAGGTTGCTACTTAAAATGTTTTAGTCTCATCTCCCCAGAGAAAGAACTAACCAACCATCAGGATTAACAGGTAGGAAATGAGAGCAACATCTGTCTTCTGTAACTCTAAGGAAAACTACAAAATGCCTGAAATTGGTCTAAGTACCCCAGACGGTCATTTCTTCAACAATAGAGAACCTGTCTATGGCAAAGTCGTCTGTCTCACCCTCAACCCAGTCACAAAGAAAACCTGAGGAGCCACATTTCCAGACAGAACTAATGACTCCCCTAAACCTTACCACTAAGGAGCCTGTAGCTCCTCTCCTCCTGCTTTCTACCCCAGGACTCAAGAGTTTCAAGATCCTGGGTCCCCTAAACCCTGTACCTCATCTCCAATATTATCTGAGGCTTTATAGATGCAGCAGCTGCTTGGTAAAGCTGGAACTATAGGCCAGTAAATGGTCCAAGGGTAAAAACATGGTCAAATGTAAGGACTATCAGGCAATGAGCCAACTCAAACTTCACTCACAAGGCAAAACCCTCTGGTAGGAATGAAATCAACACTGCCAGATTGCTAGCAAAGGGTTGTCACTGACATCAGCCCCAGATTCCTGAACACACCGATCAAAAGCCTAATGAGGGACTAGAGCCTCATTAAGTAGTGCTGTGCTCGTAATCACTGGCATCACTAAAGTAAAGAAGCATAGTGTAGAAGTATAATTTGAGTTATGCCTTATACGTACCTTTGGGAGAATTATCCCTGCATGGTGGAGAACAGTTCTAGGTCTGTTAAGCTACCATTAGTAACTCAAAACCTGTATTTACAAGGCATGTTATGCTCTATGGGTGTGACCAGAGAGAGTATTTACATCTCCTTCATACATAGGGAAGACAGAAAATACAGGGAAAAAAACCCAGAAAAACCTCAACAAATTACAAGACATTATCGCCCCATATTTAGGGATGAATTCTCACATATTTACTTTTTAGATGTTAATATGTTAACATTTTTAGATGTTAATGTTAATAATGTTAATGTTTTTAGATGTTAATATATGTTAATTTCTAAAAACCTGTGGGGTCGTAGCTCAGCATTACAACATGAGCTACTTTCTGACAAGGGATTAGGTTCAGTCCCCAGCACCACATACAACACAAGACACCGTAAGGAAAATGTTTTAGACTTCAGAGTTTCAGAGATTTTTAAAGATAATACAGTTTTGGTTTTTGTTTTGGTCTTTCTGAGACAGGGTCTCCCTGTAGCCCAGCTGGCCTGAACTCACTGTGTAGACCAGGGTGGCTTTGAACTCATAGAGATCCACCTGTCTCTGCCTCCCAGAGTGCTGGGATTAAAGGCATGTGCCACCATGCCAGGCAAAGATAATAATATCCTCTATGGTGTCTGGGATAGCCAATTTGTCACTAAACACAATATTTCTATCAAACAGATTAATATTTCTATAGAAAAATGTGAAGGAAAAAAGAAAAAGCTAGTGTGAATATTCCCACATTTTAGGTCAGATTTTGCTGCCAAATTTATAAAAATACATCTGGTCTTCATAACCCTTTTGAATTATAAGTATGCATAAAGGATTATGGACATCTACCACAAACTTTTTTTTCTCACTGTTAGCAATATGCTTTAGTATCTACTGTCACTAAAATTAATGCTGGGTCAAGCCAGATCTGCTCTGCTCAAGATACAGATTGAATTAAGAACACGTGAGAAGAGGCTTAGGGTGAAGCTCGGTGGTAGAGCTCTTGCCTATTAGCATGCACAAGGCTCTAGTTCAATCCTCTTCACCACACACACACAAATCTGCTGGGCATGATGGCACACGGCTATAAACCCAGCACTACAGGGCAGAGATAAGAGAACTACTGTAAGTTCAAGGCCAACCTGGTCTACAGCTCAAGCTCCAGGCCAGATAAGTCTGAATAGTGAAACCCTGTCTCAAAAAACAAACACACACAAAATGAGAAACAGTAATAATGTGGAAAACTCAGGCTACTTCACAGATAAGGACCAAGATAAACACTAAAACAAAAAACAATGTCATTATCTTCTTGCTCAGCCTCACTTGGCTTCCCGAGTTAGTCAGTTTTAGAGGAACTTCTGAAATCTGTTGACTTCTATACCAACCTAGAATTGGGCTTTCTGAACTTGGAGGAAGACACACATGAAAAATCAAATGTGAACACTTGTAAAGAATGAGTGCTTTATTTTAACACTGGCCCTCTTCTCCAGCACCAATGAAGAGAAAAACCCACTCCTGAATCCTTTTGCTAACTGGCTGAAGCCTCCCTTTACAAAGGCCTTATCCTAAAGTAGGAAGACTAAGGCACACTGACCAGCCAGATGACACAAAGTTGCAAATCTCAGGTAGTTGTCAATTCCACTCTGCTGCACCCAACTGCTGCCATAAATTTCCATCATGGGCCCTGTCCAAAAAGGAGCTTATTCTAGGGAGAATGTAACCAGCGTCCAATTTCCCAGGACCAACAAGCAAGCATATGATGGCCTCACCTTCTGCCTGCAGAGGGGCTCCTTCTTGTTCTCTTCTGCCTTTGCATCCTGCTGGGCAGCATCTTTGGGGGTGTTTACTGCTAAGACATCATTTATAGTTGAGCCAACCACCATGATCTTGGCTCCACTGGTCACTTTTATTTCTCTCAATGTCTTATCTTCAGGGACAAGCCCCTTATACATGACCTTCTGCATAGCAGGCGGGAGACCTTGGAAAAAAGTGGAAGGCAATGAAAGGAATAAGCAAGAAATGTATGGACCATTACCCTTCTGTTACAGGACAGGAAGTCAATACTGGCTCCATCAGCTATTAGCTTTGTAAACCTGGGGCAATTCAGACCATCTGGACTGTATGACAGTGGTAAGATTTGGTCTTTCTGTATAGAGTTAAAGACAAATGTCCACTATTTACAGTAGTACCTGGTATTTAGTAATTGTTTGATGAGTCTTTGCTATCATTGTTTCCAAGCTGCTCCTCAACCTACTCACTCAAATACTGAGAATTCACAGGTGTCAGAGATATAGAAGCCCATAAGGTTACTTTTCTATGGAGCTTACAGGCTACATGGAGAAAGATTAAAAAAGGAATCATTTCAAATAGCAAGCCAGTACAGATAAAATGACCAAGTATGAATAATTGTGAAGGACTACCATAATGCTCAAGAGCACTGTTTCCTAAACTTCCCTTATGAAACTTACCTAGAATATTTGCTGAAAATAAATCCTTGGCTGCTTCCCAGACCCACTGGGACAGAATCCCCTAAAATTAACAAGTGCCTTGGGGGGGAGGAGTTTTCAGTAGCAACGATGGAGTAACGTTAGATGGAAGGCTGGACCCAAGATTCAGATCCAACCTTGCAACTCAGCTCCGTCACTTGGTAGTTCTTTCATCCTGAGTCTCCTTTTCACTATCGGGTTAATAATGGGCATCCAAGGACTGACTTCTGAGAACTACAGCAGGGAGCAAGGGAGCCCAAGCAAGGAAAGCGGGAGCATGTCTGGCACAACGTAAGCACTACGACCTAGAAAGAGTGGAAGCGGTTGGCTGTCAGCGTGGAGAATACCTGTAATCAAGTGAATCTTCTGCTTTAGCTCGGAGCCTGTGCTGTCCAGGGGAACCTTGACGTCGTGCTTGGTCTTGTTCCAGATGATCTTCAGATCCACCAGCTCCTTGCCCGCGCCGCCGCCCGCGTCCTCGCCGTTGCTGACCGAGGCCTGTGCCGCCGGGTCCCCAGGGGGCTGGGCCGGGGCCGGCTGCAGGTTGTCTCGCGCGTCGCAGGAGTCCTCGGCCGCCGCCCCCACCGCGGCTTCGGCCTCCACGCAGTTGAGGGGCCGCGCGGGCGCCTCGGTGGTCACGGCCTCGGCCTCCGTGTCCATGCCAGGTTCCTCCATGCCTGCAAAGGGGTTAGGGGGTGGGTGCTCGACGCAGGCTGGGCTGGAGACAGGACTGGGCCCGGGCGCCTCCGCACCGCTGCTGCTGCGCCACGCTCCTTCCTCCGCGGTCAGGCCGCACCTCCCACCTCGGCGGCGCCCGCAAGCTCGGCACCCGCCGGCCGCCCGCCTCCCCCCTCCGCACTCACCATCCGGGCCTCCGGCCGCCGCCATGATGATTGTGTACAACACCCACCACGCCCGCAGGGGCCGCCGGGAAGAAGCGAGCTGACTGAGATTGGCCCCCTCAGCAGCCCCTAATCTCACACAGCCCGGCCGGAAACAGGTGGAGGTTTCTATGGAGACCCGCCTCCTTCGCTTCCCCGCCCGGCCCCTGCCACGCTTTAGCTTTCCCTCAAATCGAGGGGGGCGGGTCTGCGGAATGGCCCGCTCGCTGAGCGCTGCCCCCTATCGGCGGAGCGCGACCGCAACTGGCCAGGGAAGGGTGTGATTGTCCGCTAGGCCACTTGCGCCTTTAAGAGACCTGGCCGCCCTCGCTGTGGCGCAAGCTGATTGGCTGGGGAGGCGGCTCCCCCCGGAAGTGACGCGCGAAGAAACCACGTGTCTCTAGCCACTCCACATGGCGGCGTTCTTGAGGAGGCTGTGGGCCCGCTCGGCGCCCTTCAGCCACAGCGTGGGACGGCGCGAGGCCAGCCTGGGGACCGCCGTACGCGTGCGCTTCGCCCCCAGCCCCACAGGTAATCCCAGCGGACGTGACGCTGCGCGGCGCAGCCCACCGCCCCGTCCCCGCCCCCGAACGTTCTTGAGCCAGTCCCTTCCGGTGCTGTCTGGCTGGAAGGGCAGCACAATCCCGTTTCACAGAGGCGGAAATTGAGGACTTGGGTCTGAAGAGATTGACGTTGCCAGATGTTTCTTTGTTTAGAGTACTGGCGGTCCTTTTTTCGTGCAATAAGTAAACCTATACTGTATATAAACCGTGCCAAGTCCTGAGCCCTGGGATGTTCTGGCCGTTGAAAAGTTAGGGCCCCTGGGGCTGGTGAGGTTCAGGGCACTGGCTGCACTTGCAGAAGACCCGGGTTCGATTCCCAGCACCCACAGGGCTGACAATCGTCCAAAACTGCAGTCAGGGACTCCTTCTCCCCCTTCTTCCCTCCGTGGGCATTGAACGACACATAGATGCGGGCAATACACTCATACACATAAAATAAAAATAATAAAAATTTTTAATAAGAAAAATTTGGGCCCTTGCTTTCAAAAAAAAAAAAGAAAAAGCGCTTGCGTTCTGTTGGCCAGGACAGACACATAAATTAGTTGTAGAACCACGTGCGCCATTCGGGAAATAAATTAAGAGACTAAGGATTAGATAGTATGCTCAAGAATGCCTTGCTGAGGAGGTAACATTTTGTTGAGAACCAAATGGCAAAAAGGATGCCTTGCTGAGGAGGTGACATTTTGTTGAGAACCAAAATGGCAAAAAGGAGCCACCTATTTGGAACCTAAGAGAAAAGGGCAAGTTACAAAGGTCTGTGGTTAGTACTATTGGGAGCTTAGCAAGCCAAAGGGAAGCAGAGGCCGAGTGCATAACCTGTTGGAGATACTGTCAGCCCTTTCCCCACACAACACTTTTTAACTCTTTTCCCACTCAGACCTGCCCTCTTCGCACTAAGCCCAAGGTCAGCAGATAAAGGTCTTTGCAACAGAGCCCCAGCTGCACATAGTTTATGGACAGAAGTATAGAGTGTGGTACTTTTTAAACCATCCATGGTGGAAGCCCTGGTTTTTAATTTTCAATTGTGGATCTGTTATCCATATAAATCAATATAAGTGAACTACTAGGGGAAAAAACTGAAAATATTAGAAACATGGAAAACAAAAGCCAGTTTCTGTGAGTTTCAACAGACATAAAATTTATCAAATGGCTATAAGTTTTTAAACCTTGGCTTAGTTTCTGCACTTACCTTTTGTGAACTGGCAGATTTGCACACCAGCTCACCTCACTTTGAGAAGCATTTAAGTAGGGAGCCAATGCCTGAACACTGTCTGGATCAAAATTTCTGCCTTTGCCACTTCCTAGATGTGTCAGTTGGGCAAAATGATTTGCCCTCCTTGTGTCTAGGTTTTGTAGTTGGTCAAATGGGGCTAATAATAGGATCTGCTGTGGTTTTGAGCCAGTGCAGCTGAGCCACTTAGAAAGATCTGCTGTGCGAATTAGCCTCTTCCATGACTATAATTCATCTCTGCCGATTTATAGGAAGCCCAGTTGGGAAGGAGTATTGACTTCTAACGGATAAAAGAATTTGCAAGTGAAGTAGATTACTATAATGGCTAAAATTCGTTGAAGGTCTATTTTTTTGTTTATTTTGTTTTTTGAAACCTGGTATCACTGTATAGTTCTTAGTGGCCTGGAACTTGCTTTGTAGATCAGGCTGGCCTGGAACTTGCAGTAATCCTCCTGCCTCTTCCTCCCATTGTGCTAGGATTACAGGTGTGAGCCTCAAGACCTGGTTTGGCGTTCTACTATGATCAATATTTAGATATCATACAACTTTATAAAAAGGAGGATCCTGCCCAGATGTGGTGGCACATGCCTTTGATCGTACAGCTTGCCAGGCAGAGGCAGGTGCATCTCTGTGATTTCAAGGCTGGCCTAGTCTTCCTGGTGGGTTCCAGGCCAGCCATGGCTACAAATGAGACTCTGTCTCAAACACCCTTCCCCGGAAGAAAAAGAGTTGTTTTTTTTTTTTTTTTTAACTCCAACAGATGCGTTGAAATGTATGAAAGTTAAGTGAATGCCCCAAAGGTTAGCAACTCCTAAAGGATAAATTCAGAATTCTTTTTTAAATTGTGCGTGTGTGTGTGTTCATGTTCATGTGAGTATGAGAAAGGGTTTCTCACTGAACCTGGAGTTCTCTGATTCAGTTAGACTGACTGACCAGTATGCTACAGGGATCTGCCTATCTCTGACCAACTAAGCCATCTACAACCCCTGAAGCAGATTTTGAATCCAGGTATATATTATGTATATATCTATTACTGTTCTGCCTGTTTTGAAATTCCTGAGCTCTAGTGCCACTAAGGACTGCTGGTTTTGTGGCTTTGCAGTAATTCACTGAAGGCCACACATATAATCAGTGTCAAGCCTGATCTGCCTGATGTCTAGAAGAGCATTTCTTGTTCTGTTGTGCCCTGGGTACCTGGAAATGCAGATGAGCTCGTTATAAATGCACATGAGCTGATTATGGAGATTCAGGGCCCTGGGCTGGTCAAAGAAAGTCTAGGACGGGAAATACAGCCCTGGAAAAATTTAAAGCTTTTAGTCAAAAGTAATAAAGATCTTAGGAGTTTAAGCCCCAATGAAGGGAAATGTGGGGAAGTTAAATATTGTTTCTAGTTATAAGTATTTAAAATTAGCATGTAAGTTGAAAAGCCTCAGGCAAAATTCAAATTGCATGATGTGGCTAGAGTATCATACATAGTATATATGCAAAATGTGATTTTTACAGGATTTAAACTTGATATTCATTCATATGTAATTACCATTTTTTTTCTTTTGGCCTGGAATACATCATTAAATTTGTGTAAGTTAAGTGCAACTATGATACAGCTTCAGTGAATAATTCTCTGCTGTTTCTCCTTGTACTGAAACTTGGCCTTGAGGCAAATATCAAAGTATAGTTATAGGTGGATTTGGGAAGAATTGGAGCATGCATAATGACGTGCTTCTAAACTGGGGTACGTGTCCATTCCCGGAGTGAAGGACTAAATGTCAGCTACCTTGGCCTTTTTAGTGACAGTTCTGCTGTCTGGATGCTCCCAGAGGGAGAACAGTCACAGCCATTGCATGGTCTTTCAGATCCACAGGGACATTCTTCTTTGCTCCTCAGCTGAAGTCTGTGAGCTAGCCTTTCTTTGTCCTGTCTGACGAGTTCTCTTCTCCTACCAGGCTTCTTGCACCTGGGCGGCCTCCGCACTGCCCTCTACAACTACATCTTTGCCAAGAAGCACCAGGGGAGCTTCATCCTCAGGCTAGAGGACACAGATCAGAGCCGCCTTGTGCCTGGGGCTGCAGAGAACATTGAGGACATGCTGGAGTGGGCAGGTAAGGCCCGAAAGGAGAGTCCTCTGGGAAGGAACAGAAAGCAGAGGAGGACCCTGTGGATCTTCTCAGGGGATTCATGGTGGAGAATGAGGATTTCTGAGGAAAGGTGCAGTCTGAAGCAGTAGGTGCTACTGTAAGACTACTGATGCTCCCAGAGGCTGAGCTCCAGCCTTTGGGGATTCCTGTTCTTATCTCAGTCTCTTAAGTCCATGCCCTAACCGAGGCCAGTCAGGAAACAGGCCATATGGAAATGAGTAGCTTGGCCTGCAGTGAACAGAAGGAAGGGGGCCTCATGCAATGGAGGTAGCACCTTTGAGCTCTAGCTTCTGTTCCCATGGGAATGTGACCCCTCTGGTCAGTTCCAAGAAGAGTCAGAGAGTCCAGCTCTTTTGTTTTTAGACCCTACCTTCTTTGTCTCTTCCCTAACTTTAATTTTTCTTTACATTTGCTTATTTGTGTGTGTGTCTGTGTGTATGTGCATGCACACACTTGTGTGGACATCAGAAGACAGCTTGTGGGAGTTTTCCTTTTCTTGTGTAGGTCCTAGAGATTGTACTCAGGTCATTGGGCTTGGTGACAAGCATCTTCCTGTCCCCCCCCAACCCCCCCATCCCTGCCCCCAAGAACATCTTGCTGGCCACTTTTTCTTTTTAAATGAATACTTCCCATTGTTAAACCTTGGCTTGGATTTAAACCTACATTTTTTATGAACCAAGCAAAATGTGTGCAGTCTCAGGAATTGATCTTGTGCACAGTTTAATCCTAAGAAAAACTAGGCTTGGCTAGAACAAGGAGTATGTTTGTGTTTCCTGAACCACAAATTCCTATGGACCCCTACTAAGGACGGGGACTATGGAAGGTTAACACCCTAAGGAAAATACCAAGACTCTTTGAAGATGTGCACTCTCACCTTAGGTAAATCAGTCACTAGACTGAGTTCTTGAAGGAACAGAAACCCATTCGTTCTAACTTTTATTAGGGAAATCTTAATACACATTTAGTTGAGGTTCATTGAATAGAGGAATTTATTTATTCAACAAGATCACTTTGATTCATCTGCCAGACACACTGAGTCTTTACCCAGTACTCAATGAGAAGGGCAAAGCAGATTGGACAGGTGCCTTCTGTGGTTTTCTTTGTGCAAACTGGCCTCAAATTTTCCATCTTCCTGCCTCAGTGTCAAAAGTGCTGGGGTTGCAGACATGTATACCACACCTACCCAGACCACTTCATTCTTTTCTTTTCTTTTCTTTCTTTCTTTCTTTATTTTATTTTTATTTTCGAACAGTGCTGGTATCCAAGTCAAGGCCTTGTGCTTATTAAGCAAGTGCTGTACCATTAAACTATATTCCAGCACTATAATCATCCTTAACCTGATATTAACTAATAGAAGAGTTATGGAGAAAAGCTAGAGACATGGCTCAGTGGGTAAAGTGCATGCTGCGTAAGCATGAGGTCTTGAAATCAGGTCCCTAACAACCTATGTAAAAAGCCAAGATTTGTGGAGTGCATCTCCAGTCCCAGCACTGGGACACAGACACAGGAAAATCATGGGGCCTCACTAGCCATCCAGTCTAGCCAGCCAGTAAGCTATAGGTTCAGTGAGATACCTGTCCCCAAAAGTAAGGCAGGGGGGACTGGAGAGGTGGCTCAACAGTTAAGAACACCTGGTGCTCTTGCAGAGGACCAGGGTTCAGTTCCCAGCACCCACATGGTGGTTCACAACCATCTGTAACTCCAGTTTCAGAGGATCCGACACCATCTTCTGACTTTCGTAAGCATTACACACACAGACTGTACACTTGCATACATGTAGGCAAAACATCATACCCACAAAATAATAATTAAGAATTCTTTTTAAGTAAGATAGAAAGCCATTGAGGAAGATCCTTGACATTGACCTCTGGCCTCCACATGTGCACATGTACCTGGAAAGTTACAGAGAAAGGGTAGCAGGTTGGAGAACTGGGAAAAGGGGTGCTGTTCTAGATGGGATGGTTGCCTCTGAGACACAGAATCTTGAATGAAGTAAGGAGTGAGGTCTGATTGCTTAGACTACATGGAATCACAGATGCAAAGATTCTGTGGAAGAGAAGTGATGCTGGATGTATCTGAGGAATGATGAGGAGGCTGATGTGACCCAGTGACTTCAAGAAAGCAGAATAGCGATGGGACGGCAGCTAAATCATTTGGTGCCATGCAGGCCCAGGTGAGCACTTCAACTTCATGGGACCCTTGCTATGTCAGGTACTGTGTGCAGTACAAGAGCCTAGATGATGAGCAAGACTAGTGGGCCTGCCCTTGTGGGATGCCCACCATAACAGTTTTGTGAACAGCACCTTGCAGCCCCTTGGCTGAGCTCATGTTCCCCATATTTTATGTTCAGGAACCCCAGGGTGGCTAACTTCTGGAGCTCCTTGCTTTGGGGGTCATTCTTTTAATTTTTATCTTTTATTATTATTATTATTATTATTATTATTATTATTATTATTATTTTGGTCTTTTTGAGATAGGGTCTCTCTATAGCT